GGGAAAGTTGAAATTACTATACTGAGTCTTTTCATCCATGAACACTTTGCATCTCTCTATTTATTTAGGCCTTCACTGGTTTTCTCACTATGTTCTTTATTGTGTATAGGTTTGTATATCTGTTAGATTTATTCGTAGGTATTTCATAGTTCTATGCTATTGTAAATGTTTTTAAATTTTTATTTTCTAATTGTTTGTGACTGGTTTATAGAAGTACAATGAATTTTTGAATAGTGAACTCACTAAATGTACTTGTTTTTAAATTGTATCTGTAGATTCCTTTGGATTTTCCTCAAACACAATCATGCCTCTGCAAATAATAATAGTTTAATTTTTTCTTTTTAAATCATCATACCTTTGTTTTTTTCCATCAATCTTCTTAGTCTTAATTCAGATCCATACTTCTTGGCCCCTTTCAATGAATCTGTGGTGTTCTGTCTAATTAGAAGAAATCAGTAGGAATACCTGTTAAGAATTTTCCGTGAAAATATTAAAGCATGTAAGTGTTTTCCTCGGACTCAGAGGTTCACAATCTTTGTTTATTTTTGTATTTTATTCTTTTTGGGATGTGTGCACAGAATGCATCTATTGCTGAACCTACATTTAAAAAATATGTTGCATACCTTCTGAAAACTTCATTGAGAATGTATTACTATAGTAGATAAGTTGAAAACTCTAGATGTGGGGGTTTCACATTTTCCTAATGTATCTTTTCTGAAACCTGAAAGGTCAACATACTTCCAGTGCAGAATTGATCACTAGTGTTATCTAATTATGGTTTGCTTCAATTATTTTTCAAAAAAATTTTCAGCCAACTGTTGTCATCAAAGGGAATACCATTTCAAATGAGAATTCAAGTTTCTAAGTAAAGGCATTTCTCAAATATGTAATCAAAAAGTTTCAAGTAAAAAATACAGATCTTTTAAATATATTTTAATATAGTCAAAACCTGAAAAGTATAGAGTTGAAAGATATTTGGTGCATTGATAAAGTTCCCTGGGGGACGTTGGATGTTTAAAGCAACAGTTTGATTGAATAGAACAATAAATGCAGGGCTGAGTGTATTTTTTCTCTTTCTTTCTCATCTACTAGAAAAATATAGATAATAGAGCTCATTTATTTCCTTAACATTTCAGAGCTCCGCAGATGGGAAAACACAACCCAGTGGAAATGATTTCTGGCAACCTTGAGAAGATATGTTAGCATTTTGTGGCATTTCTCTCAGTGACATGTAAAGCATGGCTTTCCCTCATTGCAGTGTCACAGTGAAGTGTCACAATAAAGCCAAAATAGTGTGCCCTCGGGGAAAACTAGGAAAAGGGACCATTTTCCATACACACACAAAGAGTAATATTTATTATAAAGCCTTTCATTTTAGTTCCAAATGCTGCCGGAGCTGTGGGTATTTTCCAGTGGAGAAATGCACAGAATGTGAGACTTAAAGCAAATGTTATGTGTAAATCTAATGCAATTTATGTAAATATAAATAATATGTTAAAAAGTAGAATGCATTTATGGACATACATGCATGCATAAATCTCTGTAGCGTGCCAGGGAGAAAGCTTGTGATGCTGCAAAGTGACAGCATTAGCCAGTGTTGATGGAGTCCAGAGAGCCCTGAGCTGGGAGCCAGGACAGTTCCATCTTTACCTATTTTTGTCACTACTAGCACAGATATTATCTCTTTTATCTACAAACCCTGTGATATGGAAGTTATTAATTCCATTTGGTAGATGAAGAATTTGATATTCCAAAAATTTAACTATCTGTTGCAGATTACACAGCTAGTATTACTTACATGATTTCACATACTCTTATTATCAAATACAATAGTTTATTATAAACTAAACTTGTAGTTCTGATAAAAGCCTTACATATACTCTTCATCTTACACTCACACAGTTATTATTTGGACTCAAATGTTGAACTTGATTTTTATAGTCATCAACTGCCATCTCATTAGGTTCATTCTCCTGCCCCAGGCTATAGACATTTTGGGAGTGTCTTAGTTATTATTTTGCAAGGTGTTTCTCATTGCTGCAACTCAGTGTCTTCTTCAGGCTGGATGACTGTTGTATATATTCTCACTAAATCAGTGGGCAAGGTCCTGTGTCAGGCACCTTTCTTCTAGTTAGAGAGGTTGCTGTTTCATCCGGGTTCTACTTTAACCAATTGTCAAATGCATACAGAAATTACCCACGTCTATGTCCTGATGTAGTAAAATGGAGAAGAGGGTGTGAGCTTTGGGGCCCTATAGACTTGGATTCAAATATCAGCCCCACTATTAGCAGTTAATGTGATTCTGGGAATGTTACTAGCTTTTATAAGTACATTTGAATGATGATATTAGCAAGATACAGTTTGTAAGGATCTTAAAGGTAGTATGAGTTCAGGCCCATTCACCACTCCAGTCATCAAAGAAAGAAATGACAATCTTTTTGATGACCAATCTTTTAGTAACCACCCCTGCCACCCGAGGTCTCATTGATGAATGCTTCCTGATGCCAACAAATAATCTCTTCTTTCTCCTTCTCCTCCTTCCTCAGTTCTATTATGGAAGATGCAGCATGAGATCTCACTTTTAAGTGTGCCGTACACTATTGTTGACTCTAGGTATAGTGTTGAACAGGAGATCTCTAGAGCTAATTCATCTTGCTTGACTGAAACTTTATGCCTGTTTGATTAATAACTCTCATTTCCCCCTCCCCCATTCCCTGGAAACCACCATCCCACTCTGATTTTATAATTTTGACTATTGTAGATACTTATAGTGCAGTCACACAGCATTTGTCTTTCATCTGTCTGGCTTATTTCACTGAGAATAACATCCTCAAGCTTCATCTACATTGTTACATATTACAATATTTCCTTCTCTTTAAAGAATGAAGAGTATTTCATTGTATGTATGCACCACATATCAATTTGTCAATTATTCATGGATATTTAGGTGGTTTCCACATCTTGGCTGTTGGGGATAGTTGCAATGAACATAGAAATGTAATGGATGTAGAAAACTGGGTGAATGTTCCTCAAAAATACAACCACCATATGATCCAGCAGCTCCACTTCTGGGTATTTATGTAAAAGAATTGAAATCAGGATCTTGAAACATCTTCACTTTAACACCCTTTATTAGCTGTTTTCCCAATACCAATGTTATGCTTAAATTACTATGACTTTTAGAATCCATTTCCTTTCCCTGCTTTAATATCTGAATGACGTAGAAGCCTCTCCCATTTGCTACAAATCTTCGCTCATGACGATGGCTTAATGATCTTAGTTTTATATTTTGCAAGGATTTTTTTTTGGTGGAAATTCATTTGACTCAGGATACTTGAACTACTTTAGGGAACCTCTTGAACCTCCTGAAGAGAGTTTCTCTAGGAACTCGATGCCTCTTTGATCTGTTTATTCTGCCTCCCTGTTCAGCCCCTCAAAGCCAGTCTCCTTTGACAAAGAAGGCAAGCATAAGGGTGTTTCTGCTTCTTTGTGCTGGCTCTCACTACATTATAATCTATGGTGTAGACTTCTGTTTTCCTTGACAAATGAGCAGACGCAGTCCATGTTGGTCCTCACTTCCTGCCCCATCTTCTTATCATGGCGGTGTTTGCTCCCATGGTCATCTGGTTATATTCTATTTTGCTCCATATTCTGTACATGGTCACTTTACATTTAGGTTCATCAGAGAAGTTTTGTGAAAGCACATTGCTTGATTTAGAAACTTCACTCTTCTTTTACCCATCAGGGTGATTTTTAATTCTCTACTTTTTAATCTTCTTAAAGACATTTCCAGCTCTCTAATTATCTCTTCTTCCAGGATCTTTTTTCTTCTTTCTTAGAAGAAATGACACTTTTTCCCCCGTTGGAAGTTTTTGAATCTACTCTTCTAAAGCCAAGAGTTCTTGTGTGACTATAACTGAATCATTGTCATGAATAGGCCACCATCTTTTGCGTTGATGTTTGTAAAATAATGGTTTAAGGCCTTTCTTTATTTAGTAATATTCCTGAGGATTTAGTCGTCTTCTAAGTCATATCTTTTTACTTTGAGTCTAGGATTCTCTTCTCTGGATCTTTTCATCTAAAGCTCCACATTTTTCTTCAAAGTACATTTAATAAATATCTCTCATAGACTCACAGTTGGCTAAACCCTCTGGTTTTCATGGATCTTGCCAAGAGAATGTTTGTCTTAACTTCACACATAGAGTGATCTGCATTAATTCTGAGCGAGCTATATGTAGGAAATCTATTTTGAAAGGGCCACCCTCAGGAGCATTTCCAAATAAAACCATATGAGAACAGGAGTGAGGATAAACTGTTGTCCATTTTTGTGAAATCCAATCTTATTTCTCCTCCTTTTATTTGTTCGGTGTGCCAAGTGAGTGAGAATCAGAAGGCAGAGTGCCATGTAGCATCTTTCCACTTTTTTTGTGTTTGATGACTGGAGATGGGAGACAGGATGTTCATAGCTAGCCCCCTTGCTCTATGCTTCTTTCTTTTAAGTGAAAGTACAAGATATGTGACATTTCAAGTTTGAGCCACAACTGTGGCAGAGATAAGCAGTTTCAGTAGCAAACAACTGTTTGAAAAACCTTGTGATTTATCCATACTGGACACATTTTTTTTTTTTGTATCTGGTGGTATATTTTTCACATTAGCTGTTTCTTAGGATTAGCAAACCAGTACAAATCTTGTTTCATCCCTCCCTGGGTATTTAGTGTAGTGCCAAGCAAAGCACAGATTAACATATGCTTACTCAGGATTAAGGATGATTTAAAAAAAAAAAAAAAAAAAAAAAACAAACTCTTCTGATAGGCAGTAAAATAGAATCCACACAGTTCAGTGGAGTCCACAGATGGGATGTTTTTGTTAGTGCCAATGACCAACCCTAAACCTCTAGTCCCAAGTTTCCAAAGGCTTTAGGTTAGACTTCAAGAAAGTTAAATGCCAAACAGCAGTAAATGCTAGTTTACCATATTCTTAATTTTCCTCAATCACTACAGTGTTGCCTATGATTGTTCCATGGCAAAGAAGAGAAGAGCTGAAGATCCGGCTTTGGGGGTTCCAGTCAACAAAAGGAAATCCCTGCTAATGAAGCCCCGACACTACAGCCCAAACGCAGACTGCCAAGAAGACCGCAGCGACAGGACAGAGGACGATGGCCCCTTGGAAACGCATGATCACTCTACTGCAGGTAGCAAGGAGGAGAGCCTAAACTTTACCTGCTCCCTGGCTCCAAGGACTCTGTGCTAATTCATGTAGAGCGTGTGGTTTGTATGGTTGGTATGGTTGTAAAAGTATATTCAAATTTGGAAGCAAAATCAAACATTTATTTTACCTGACATTTATTTATTGAGGACCCATTTTTTAATCAGTAACTGTGGAGGGTCCATTGATAAGCAACAGAGAGTCTTGTCCTATCCATTTTCAAAAGCAGATGATTGAACTATGCCTCTTTTTGAAGAAAATACAAGATACTAAGTGTTAGATTTGAAGAGTACTTTTTCTTCCTAATAGGAAGGATTCCTGAAAGAATCCTTTAGATTGATGGGCATATTTAAACTTTAAGACACCTTTGCAATGATCAAGTTATATATAATGTTCATTAGTGATTATGATATATATGTATATATTACAGTTAAAATGTTTTTTAAATTTTTTTATCAACATGTGTGGTTTTTACTCCAAAATATAATTGGTAATAACAACATGAACCAATGTAAATGGTCTGTGGCCTTAATATTTTTCATATTTTTGAATAAATGCTTATAGCAATCACATATAGAAGCAACCTCAAGTTGGCAGACTAGAGTCTTCTTCAGAAGGAGACTGAAGGAAAATGATGTATTATAGAAAAGATATCGCTGTGCCCATTATTTCAAAAATAAGTTACTTAAGTTTCCCTTTAGCAGCACATTTTAGTTCATTGATTCACTTCTTCACTTACTCATCAAACAAACTTTTGTGTGCTAAGTGAAATGTAGAATAAGTTACTTAAGTTTCCCTTTAGCAGCACATTTTAGTTCATTGATTCACTTCTTCACTTACTCATCAAACAAACTTTTGTGTGCTAAGTGAAATGTAGTTACTGTTTCAAAATTTGAGGATTTCTTTTTTCCCCATTGAATGTTATTCGCATTAGTTCCTGGTAGTCACATGCCTCTAGGAGTTGGAATTCCATCACTGATCACTTTGTGCATGAGGCGAAGCTGAGCGACATGCAAAAACTCTCAAAAATTATAGAAAACAATTAAGATCTAAAACTTGACTTAGTAGAAAAATGAAACTAGGTGTATATTCTACTAAACATAATTTTTTTCTGAATGTGAATTTTAAAGGAATCAAAATATACTAAATAATTTGTTACTTAAAAAGAACTACTAATTATGCAAACAAAAGGCAATGAGATTCTTACATAATACATTTTTATGGTATGTAGAATTATAGTTAGCAATAAGAATTAATAGAAAAGATTTAAGGGCATGCTTATGAGTGAGCACAAATCTCAGTTCAGAATCATCCTAGATTCAGTAATATTGACTTGAAAGTAGAGTTTGCAATTCTGTGGTTAAAACAAAGCTGTATTCTGATTTGAAGGTATTTAAGTAAATTCTTTGGCTTTTGTGTATTTAGCATGTGATTTAAAGCCTCATAGCTCATCTGTAAATTATAATCACCCTTGACTTTTTTGTTTCCTTGAACTGATCAATTTTATTCATTTTGTTGTTGTTGTTGTTATTGTTTTGTTTTTGTTTTTTGAGATGGAGTCTCACTCTGTCACCCAGGCTGGAGTGCAATGGTGGGAACTCAGCTCACTGCAACCTCTGCCTCCCGGGTTCAAGCTATTCTCCTGCCTCATCCTCCTAAGTAGCTGGGATTACAGTCACACCCAGCTAATTTTTGTATTTTTGGTAGAGACAGGGTTTCACTATGTTGGCTAAGCTGGTCTCAAACTCCTGACCTGAAGTGATCGCCTGCCTCAGCCTCCCAAAGTGCTGGGATTACGGGTGTGAGCCATCATGCCTGGCTCAGTTTTATTTGTTGATTCATGAAAATTTGCAGGTTGAATCTAGTATTAGGGAAAGTCTTTGAATCATTTGTGGTTGGACTTGCAGTATAATACACAAACTGACATTAATTAGCCAAGCGTTTAAGAAAATATGTGTGCTTTTGCATCAGCACATTCTTGTAAGTGTTGTGAAAACAGACTATATCTGGCTCGCTGACTTGTCACCTTCTATTGTAGTTTGTTGACCACTGTACATGTTTAATATTGACCAATTGAATATATTGTCCAGATGTCCTCCAGTTAAACACACAGTTACAGGCACTAATGGACATTTATTTGCAGGTTCACAAGAAAAGGTTAACTATTTTCATATTTCATATTAGAACCACTAATAATAATAATGAATACGCTAAAATTACAGCAGTGGTGACCACTGTTTTTGAGTTCTTAATATATTCCAGACACGTAAATGATATCGATTAGTCCACATAATGCCACGAGTATGTGTGATTATGGGCACAGTTTTACAGATGAAATCACTGGGGACCAAAGAGATTTGATGCTGAAAGTAATGCATCTTATAGGTGTTAGAAGGAAGATAATTAGGAAACAATTGGAAGGACAAGCAAAAATAATTATTTCCCAGCTAACTATGCTCTGTAATTCAGCTGTCCTCACGCACTGACTACCTTCAGAATGCAGACTGGGCAAAGTTCCTACAATGTCAAATTATGCAGTCACAGTTTCCAGTAATGGCAGGCCCTGTGCCTGGTCAAAAGAACAAAGATTCTAAGTTGCCTTCAGACCTCTGAACAAGTTACTCCCCACCCCACAATGAGGAAGGAGAGCTGAGTTAGTGCCCAAGCCAGCATAAGACTTTTCATCTGGCCTCTCATTTACTCTGGTTGCCCCAGGGTATTTACCTGGCCAGGTGTGTTCCCCATTATATCATCTGCAGCTGGGAAGCTCAGATAATGAGAGAAGGGATAGTGCTCAGAAAGAGACTGAGGTCAGAAGCTTGAATGCTGCAAAGTTTTATTCCATTTTATAGCACAAACTTCATCCATATCCTCAACCTGCTATCTTTCAAAAAGATGCAGATCACTGTTAAGGGGATAGAAGAGAATATGGACAAACCATGCAGTTACCTCTTCCTTCTTGAGGAGACGAGCTTGCAAAGTACTGCCAGAAGGGAGGAAGATCAATAAGCACAGTCTTTCCTGACACAGGCAGGGAGAATGAGAGTCACCAGAAGGAAGATTAACCAAGCCCTGGTGTGGGGTCCCCAGCAGCATAACCACAAGCTCATAGGGAAATCTGCCACAGTCATAGAAGTTCTAGGGGCTGGGAGGACACTTTTAACACATATTATCTTTCAACTAATAGCAAATAAGGGGTAAACCACTCTGCTTTCAGAACTTTGAAAGATGAATTCATTTTTTCCAAGGCTTTTATTCCCAGCAAAATGTACATATTCAAGAGGCCTGGAAAACCAATTTACCTATAAAAGTAACGTAGCTAGTTACAGAAACAGAACTGAAATCCAATTATAATAAAATCCAGTGTTACTAAAGGAGACAAACTCAAAATATGCTGTGACTTTCAGAGGATGTTTTAAAGTTGTATCGTTGCAGAGAAGCCAACATCTATGCCAGGATTCATTAGTATGTATCTGTAGGATTACCAGAAAACTCCAAGTAGAGGTCTTGGTTTAAAGTAAATAAACAACTGTGACCTTGTATGTATCAGGCAGAAGCATTTACTTTTTACTCTAGAAAAGCATCCCAGCATCTCCCCGCACTGTGAATGCACTCAGGATGGAGAAAGGCCTGGACCAGTGAACAGTCTGCTCTCTGGCTGTAACCCTCTGGTTATGCCCTCCCAAGAGCTGACCCTAGAAATTTTCTAACCTATTAGAGTTTTGTTGTTAAGAAAGTTGAGGTTGGTTCACTTTTAGTTTTTGTTTGGTCGTGTTGTTTATTTTACTTATAATTTGAGCATCATCCTTCTTCTCCTTGAAAGTTACCTGACAACTGGCTGGGCGTGGTGGCTCACTCCTATAACCCCAGCACTTTGGGAGGCCTAGGCTGGCTGATCACGAGGTCAGGAGTTCAAGACCTGCCTGACCAACATGCTGAAACCCCCATCTCTACTAAAAATACAAAAAAAAAAAAAAAAAAAAAAAAAAAAAAAATAGCCAGGTGTGGTGGCACTTTCCTGTAATCCCAGCTACTCAGGATGCTGAGGCAGGAGAATCACTTGAACCTGGGAGGTAGACGTTGCAGTGAGCAGAGATTGAGCCACTGTACTCCAGCCTGGGTGACAGAGGGAGACTCTGTCTCAAAAAAAAAAAAAAGAAAAAGAAAAAGAAAAAAAAGTTAACTGACAATTGCATTCTAGTATCTTCTGCATATGAATTCACTCTTGAAAATATCCAAACTTGGGAAAATAATCAGCTACTAGTGCTCTTAGTCATTTCTCCTAAGGGTCACTGTGTTTCCAAAACACCAACCAGGACATATGGCCTTCCATGGCTGTGGGACCTGGAGTAGCATGTTTCAGAGGGCAGAGCTGGAGTGGGGTCCACGTAGCCCTGGTCCTGTGTCTCAGTCTTGCACTGGCTGGCCATGTGACTCTAGCAAGCCCAGCCCTCTGTAAAATTGTAGTTTCCTTCTGTGAACTGGAGTAGAAAATGCCTTTCTTGTGCTTATTGTGACAATTAAATGAAATAAACAGCTGAACACCATGCCAGGAACATAACAGTTTGTTGTCCTAGGAGGGATCCTTGAAGTACCCATCCAGTCATCAGATCATTGGATCTTCCTTGTTTTGAAGATGAGGACCCAGTCTCAGGCAACCAAGGGCCTGTCCAAGGTCACATAGCAGGTAGTGCCAGGCCAGCCACACCACCTCATCCCCCTAGAAGTTTCTCCCTCCACATTGCACATCGTGTACTCAGTTTCCAAAGGCAGTTACTGAACATGGCATAGTGTGCTGGGAGTGGGGATGAACTGAGTTGAGCCTTCTCAACAGTGGGACTCTGCCCGTCCTTGGGGGTCAGTGTTAGTAATTATCCTAGGTAAAAAAAATAAGCCCATCTTATTTATGATAAGGGTTGCATAGAACCCCTGCCATGACTACCTTCTAAAATAGTATCTGGGGCAGGGACAAGAGAGCCACCCTTGACTGGATACCTATTGGGTATTCCCGTGTGGCCCCCACAGGGTGCACAGGGTGATAGCCGTTCTCCTCAATGTGCCAGTGGTGGTGCCAAGCTCAGACAGGTGACGCAGCCCCACTGAGCTCGCAAGAGAGGGTGGCAGGATCAGAACTCAAGCCTCAGTCCACCTGATGCTAACAACAGCGATTTTTAGGTTGGTTCAGTGGCAGAGGCACAAAATAAATCACCAGGCCCCCAAAGGAAATAAACACACACAGCCTGAGAAAATGAAGGCAACTCATTGCAAAGCTGGGAGAAACAAGCGCCCCATCACAGATTTCTCAGCTTCCAAAGCAAACCCAACTTTTTTTTCTTACGACTCCAGTGAAAGCCTGGGAGAGGGGTGGAATGTGGAAAGTTGGTTTGCAGATTTGCAGAACATCCCTAGAAACCCGTGTGTGCTGTGCAGGCACCTCTGTCGGTGGCGCTCCTCTTTTTCTGAGGAATAATTAATAAATATTTTCTTTTAGCATATAACAAACAGTTGAACCAAACAATTATGTAAACTGGAAATGACCCAAAATGCGAGCAGTTGGCAGCAGCACAGTGAAATGCATTGTCGTGCACATGTGCATTTTTGTCACTCCCGCCTCTCTGGTGATCTGCACTTAATAGGAATATTTTAAACTATGTAGCTAAGCAACAGAGGTAATTGTTGCTTTCTAGAGCTTTTGTTAGCACTCTAACACAGCCCAAATATGCATAATTAGGTATAATGTCTATAAATCATTATCGTACACATGTGGGTAGTTAAGTGGAGTGAGAGAATAGTTCAATGAATTGAGCATATTCACTGAAAATGCTTTTTATTTGTTTTCTGTAGTTCATAATACTTTAAAATTATCATAACCCTTTACACTTTCTCTTAATAGCCAACTGTGATATTGAGAAAAACTTCATTTGCATTTTAGACTATGTTTAATATATTATTTAAACCTGGAGTTCCTCTGATATGAATTCAGGAGAGGCTAGGCCATCCTATCAAATATTATGTGCCTGTTTATCCAGCCTCTTTTCTAGGAACTAAAATGTTAAATTTTTCAGTTTATGTTGAATAGATCCCAACAAAAGACTGCACCCTATAATCAGCATTATTTACAGGGGCTAGTGTTGTGACTGAATTCTTCCCTTCATCCAAAAATGCTTTTAGTTACTATGGCAATATTTACTTGATCCTGGCAGTCCAGTGTTGATTTAGGGAGATAATTACCAGAAAGGAAGATGATGGAGATGTATTTTTGAGTGTCCTTGTCAGAGACAATGTTTATAAAAAATTAAATGAGACCAAAAAGACACATTGTCTTCCACACAGACACTCTCTCCCTCAGCGCTCACACCGGATGGCTGTGCTTTTCTTCCCTCCAAAGATGTTTATTAGCACAGAATGCACTGCTCTTGGTGTCTTTAACAGTCTTTAATGGGGACTTATTACTGGTTGCTTCCCATCCCCCCACCCTGCCTTTGAGACACAGAAACAGGCCTCCTATTTTTTGGATGTCTGGGCACTGTTGCAGGCACTTCGCAGACTGGTGTGCGCTGGGCACACCCCAAGTGCCTGGGCCTGGGCTGGAGTCACCTGTGAATCCACTCTCACTTGCTGTGTCTTGCACTGGGACAGGCTTGGGGAGGCTGATTATCGTCTATACACTCAGTCACCGCAACCTGGCCATTCCCAGAGCAAGGGGGGGATGACACGGACAACAATGGCTGCCTGGGACAATAGCCACTCCATAGACTGTCCTGGATGGACAGGTACGAGGGGGCTCCTCACGGAGTGCCTCTCACGGGGTGCCTTCACATTCAGGACCCAAAGCAGCCTTGTACTAAGAACAGCTAGTTACCATTCAGCACTCTCCAACGCCCCACCTTGTTTCATTTTCTTGTTACACAAGTGCATGCATGTAATGGACCAGAAAATGTGTTACTACTATTTAAGATATGATTTGATCATGCTAATATTCCTGTTTGTGTTTCCTTCAATATGGAATTTTAGGATGACAATTACAAAGGTAAACAGGAAGTCTTGAAAGTCTCAGAAAGATGTATTGTATCTTAGCTAACAGTCCATAAAATCTGAAAGTATGTCTGAGAAAGAGAGTAGAGAACATAAACCAAATGGCTTTGAAAATACATTGCCATGCTAACAGAGAAACTGATTAATATTTCCTTTACAATGTATACTAATATATATTTGATTTTCTTCTGGTTGGCTAAGAGTTGGGAATATAAGAAGTACAGTAACAATAATTTCACATTCAGCAAATACTATTATTGTTAAGTGTCTACTTCTTGTCTTGGTCAATACCTCAGAAGTACTTACCTCTTAACATGTTGGAAATTATAATAGCTCATTTCTTTTAACACAGTTCTTAGAATATTAAGGTCTAAGTTTTCTCTTAAGAGAATATATGTTTTTCTCACCAATGCTTATAAAATTAATAGAGATTATATATTACACATACTATGTATGTATATGTGTACATATATGTATGTGTATGTACATATGTATGTGAATACATGTGTTTGTATCCATATAACTTGTTGCAATTTTCTAAAATATTTTTTGTTCTTGCTCTTCAAATATTGGTTTTCTTTTTCTGTAGAGGAAGTCATGATAAAACCTATGGATGAAAGTCTCCTTTCAGCTGTACAAGAAAACTCCAGTAGGAAGGAAGACAGATACTCTTGTTATCAAGAGCTCGTGGTCAAGTCTTTAATGCACTTGGGGAAATTTGAAAAAAATGTATCTGTTCAGACCACAAGTGAAAACTTAAATGACAGTGGCATCCAATCTTTAAAAGCAGAGAGCGATGAAGCAGACGAGTGTTTTCTGATTCATTCTGATGATGGAAGAGACAAGATCGATGATTCTCAGCCACCCTTCTGCTCCTCTGATGACAATGAAAGTAACTCTGAAAGTGCAGAAAATGGCTGGGACAGTGGCTCCAACTTCTCAGAAGAAACCAAACCACCTAGAGTCCCAAAGTATGTTTTAACAGATCATAAAAAAGACCTATTGGAAGTTCCTGAAATAAAAACTGAGGGTGACAAATTTATCCCTTGTGAGAACAGGTGTGATTCTGAAACAGAAAGGAAAGACCCACAGAATGCTCATGCAGAACCCCTGGATGGCAATGCCCAGCCCTCATTCCCTGATGTTGAGGAGGAAGATAGCGAGAGCCTGGCAGTAATGACGGAAGAGTCTAGTGACCTGGAAAAGGCCAAGGGGAACTTAAGTTTGCTGGAGCAGGCAATTGCTCTGCAGGCTGAGCGAGGTTGTGTTTTCCATAACACCTACAAAGAACTGGACAGATTCCTGCTGGAGCACCTAGCAGGGGAAAGGAGGCAAACCAAAGTTATCGACATGGGTGGAAGACAAATCTTTCACAATAAACGTAAGACCCATTTTTGCATTTATTTTAGGAATAAAAGTGCTTTAGGGTTTGAAAAAAAAAGGCAGATTTGATTTTTTTTCAGATAGCTTTTTGACAGTTTAATGCAACTTAAAAATCAATTTATAATTATAAAATAAACAATTTCTTTCTTTTCCCCCACTCTCTAGATTATTCTCCAGTCAAGCTGTGTTAGTTTTGGGTATTTTCACACATGAAAAAAGGTTCATTGAATCTATTTCTTTTAATTTAACTGCTTTTTAAAAATGCATCATACCTTTAGAAATAACTTTATTTGACATTATGGGAAGTACATCAGTATTTACTGGATCTTAAATCAATTCCAGAAACTTAATTTTTCTTTGCCGCCCTCATCCTTGGATAAAACTGCAAGCCAGGCAGGATGCTCTGGTCCTTTTTGGGATAAACCTGGATGTTAATGCGTTTATGAGCCTATACTTTCACTGGCTCTCTAACTCAGGGCTCGTACATCTCTGGGCCAAACTTCAATGAGAGAGTAGGTGTGCTTTGAGGAGGTTTTAGAGTTGTTCTTCAGGCCTTGGGAAAAGTGTGTTCCTGCTTTGCTGGAGCATTTGCCCTGCTCTTTCTCCCCAGAGTCTTACACCAGATGAGCCTGAAGCTGGTTCTAGCAGTTTTATGGAGCTTCCCAAGAGCAATCCTTAGTGTCTAGAATGCTTGTTTAAGATGAGTATTTTCAGATTCCATCATCATCAGTGCTCCAGAATTTGCATTTTTTTCCCCATCAGCTTCCAGGTGATTCTTGGTCTCTCTGAAACCTGAGAGCCACAGAATTAGGGAGAGGAGTACCTTAGGAAAAATCAGGGCAGTGGACCCAAACAGCTTACAAGAATAACATGTTAGTGTGGTTGAGAAGTTCTGATTGCTGAGAGTTATCCAGAAACAAATTGTATATTTTGTCATTTTAAATCCATTTTAGCAGTCACCTGCAATCTTGACAAATAATGTCTTGCAGCTCCGAGCTGAGGAAACAAAAAAGGATAAAATGGTATCATGTAGTGAGGAGCAAGATAATGCCATGCAAACATCCTGCAAGGGTTGGAGTGGGGACAGAATATTAATGACTAGCCTGTAGTTCAGGACAGGACACTGTATCTAGCTCTGCACTCCCACTAATGTGCAACTTATTGTATTTAACTTTTTAAGTAAACTACAAAATCAGGAAAAAAAATGGAATTTACTCAAAATTCCCCAAATCCACAATTTCTGACATACTATATTTTATTGATCCTAAGAGATATCATTTCTATTTATTTATTTATTTTTGAGTTTTGCTCTGTCACCCAGGCCGGAGTGCAGTGGTGCCATCTCAGTTCACTGCAACCTCCACCTCCCAGGTTCAAGCGATTCTCCTGCCTCAGCCCCCCCCCCGAGTAGCTGGGATTACAGGGGCCCCCCCCCCCCCCCAGCTAATTTTTGTATTTTTAGTGGAGACGGGGTTTCCCCATGTTGGCCAGGCTGGTCTCGAACGTGATTCACCTTCCTCGGCCTCTCAAAGTGCTGGGATTACAGGCATGATCATTTCTCCATTTTATCATCTCTGAACTCAGAAGAATATACCATAGTTTAATTACCAATCATTTTTTTCTTTCTAAGTAGCACACAAAATGATGATTTGTTTTGTTTTGTTAAGCAATTGATGATACCTTACAGTCAATTAAACCTAGTGTTTATAGAAACTTAATTATTTGAGCCACATCTTAAAGTATTTGATGACCCTTTGGATAATTTTATAGAGCTTTTAAAACTTCTTTTTTTGTTTTCAAAAATTAAGGGCATATAATTTGTGCTTGTAAACTTTTGGGCCAGTTGGAGACTTACCGAATTCCTACTAGGGCTGGATGAGTCAGCGGTATATTCTAGTGCCTGAGGCATGGGGGCAGCCTCTGCAAGATCAAGACCAGGCAGGCTAGTCAGCAAAACAGGTGAAGAAGGTGAAGCCCACATTGAAGGGCCACAGGCTTAGTCTAGAGGAGGACTGCAGAGTCCAAACTGAGTATTCCTTTCCTGTTCCTTGTTCCCGATGTGGGATCCAATGGCACAAGAAGGATGTTTTTTGTCTCTGACATGCACTCCATGCTGTTAAGTCAATGCTCATCCCAACTGATAGCCATATTCTACAAAATACCAGCCTAACTTCCCAGACACCTTGCCCATGCAACTTCACTGTTAAGGAGAAAACTCAGGAGTTTTAAAATCTCATTTAACCCCAGTTTTCAGATGAGTCAGCAATTCTAAAATTAGTTTGGTTAGACTCTTGCCACTAAACATTTAGTGAGATTTAGGTTGCAATGTAAGTACAGTCGCCATGTCATTGACTGTCCTGCTTGTGAAAAGGGGAACACTATGAACCATTACATGAGTACATCAGATGTGAATGAGGACAGTCCCAGGAAAACCAAGGTGTAACATCACCAGAGTATAAGGTCACCCTCATTATGCAACACTGTACAAAGAAAACAGAGGAAGAGCCAAGCCTGAGAGTCGCCCCAAGCTCAAGCTCTGGCTTCTTATCATGCAAACAGGTTCTGCCCTTCAGAGCATTTCCCTGCATCTGTGTTTCACCCAGCAGAGGAGGGACTCTCAGACAAAGGGGCACGGTGGACTGTCAGTGGGCTGCACCTGGGCAGGAGCCAGCCTGCCTTATCTCTAGCACCCTCTCCGGCTTCCTGCAGACAAACAGTGTGGTGAGGAGGGGAAGTGTGCGACGCCAATCCTTTCAATGTGGTTTAGAAACGTGGCCTTACCTGGGCAAGGTCCAAGAGAGGAAGGGCATCGAAATACACATTTTTGCTCTTCTCCTTTTTTTCTAACTTACTCTCCTATGGTGTCAGGCCCCTCAGTTCCCCTAATCAGACTTTAAGAATTTGGACCTAGTGGTCTACAGATTTCACATCAACTTGAAATTTGGCACTATTTTTGGATTAAATAAAACATATCCACAAATCACAGAGCATCGCAAAACTTTTAATTTGTCTATTGCGAAATGCAGAGAGAATAGTGTTGACACCGGCACATTTAGGCCCTATCTTTCCTTAAATGCCCCCTGCTGGCCGCAGCCCCATCATCTGGCCATTCCTTGCTCATTTGAGACTTCCTGCCTTGTCTCCTGACCTCCCTGACCCTCAGCACAGAACGACTGGAAAGGATCCTTGGCTCTTCCCCCTTCTGCTGAATCCTTGCCCCCATATAATTGCATTACATTCAACCTGCTGTGCCCCATCTGCCCAGGACTGTTTATCATCCAGCAACTGGGGTGCCATGGTATGGCAGAGGCACGTCTGCTCTCGCAATACAGCGCCCCGGAAATGTCTGTCGCATCCTGTGACAGTGGCCAGACTTCATGCTCCGTTGCACAGGAGCACAGGAGACTCCGTACCCTCGCACGCAGGCCCCGTGTTCCATTGTCAGCATCTTCTCGGGCAGGACCACACTGCCTGTTTTCACTCCTTTTTTTTTTTTTTTTTTTTTTTTTTTTTGAGACAGAGTCTCGCTCTGTCGCCCAGGCTGGAGCTCAGTGGCCGGATCTCAGCTCACTGCAAGCTCCGCCTCCCGGGTTCACGCCATTCTCCTGCCTCAGCCTCCGAGTAGCTGGGACTACAGGCGCGCACCACCCCGCCCGGCTAATTTTTTTTTTTTTTTTTTTTTTTGTATTTTTGTAGACACAGGAGTTTCACCATATTAGCCAGGATGGTCTCTTTTTTTTTTTTTTTTTTTGTATTTTTTGTAGACACAGGGTTTCACCATGTTAGCCAGGATGGTCTCGATCTCCTAACCTCGTGATCCGCCTGTCTCGGCCTCCCAAAGTGCTGGGATTACAGGCTTGAGACACCGCGCGCGGCCCCTGTTTTCACTCTTAGCATCCAGGTGCTCATTATTCCTGAGGCCTCATGTTGCAGACCCCAGTAGCCTCTTTTCCTCCTGCATTGCCGCTCTCTGAGGGTTCCTGTGCATCTTCGCATGCTCTTTCTTCTCCACGACCCGAGTGCGGTGGGACAGGCGCTCCCCATGGTTGGTGTTATTCCCAGCACAAGTTAGGGGGGCAATTTGGCTCTAGGAGGGAATCTCTGTTTCAACTTTATCTGCCATCTCAGGCATGAATGTGAACATTTCTGAATAAGGCCTCATCGGTGTTAGTTCTAAGCTCACCAGTATTCACGTTTGGTCCTCATTTATTGCATATATTTATGTAACCCTTTAAGTTGTGGCAAAGTGTGTGCCAGAAAATCAAACCCCAAGCTTGTCTGGAGCCTCACCCTCCCCAGGCTCCCAGAAAATGCGTGAGCAGGTGGTGTCCCTCGCCATGCCTGGCTGCTCCCATGGGCCCCATCCACACTGGTGTTCCTGAGGGTGCTCTCTGGACTGCTGCTCCGTGGTCTGCACTCTTTGCACTTTTATTTTCTGTAAGCCTCCTGCAAGAACATTTCCCTTCCAAGTCTTCCTGCTGTCTCAGTTTTCGGATTCTGCATTTAGAGTGAGATCAGCAGCTTCTTCCCTGTACTCACTGCACGCTGATCCCAAGTGGCAACCCGTGGGGGTGTTGGACTCTCGAGACCGTGAATCACTAGCACGGGACATACAGGACACAAGCCAGTATCCTTGCCCTGTCCTAACTCTGCCAGCTGCTCTGCAGGGAGCAGGCTCTGCTGTCCACCCTCAAGCCCAAGGACCTGCAGGGCCAAGGCCAGACAGGTCTTTCTCAGATATGGTGGTTTCTTTGTTTTTGTCATTTTGAATCCATCTTTGTCTAGACTTTCAATAAGAAATGGTTTTGATTTAAATAAATTCTTTCTCACTTTTTTTTCTTTTCGGGAGCCTGTTCATCCCCTGGCACAGGGTTGATTTTTCATAATGAGGCTCTAACTGCAATATGTGACATGACAACTTAAAACCATCTCTGTATTTTAACACTCCCTTGCCCTGTGTCAGCCTTTACTTATGAAACCAAGAAAATTGAAAACATGTTTTCTGTTTCCACAGGTCTTAGTTGAGGGTCTTATTCAAGGCAACGTGAGAAGAATGTTTATAACAGTAAAACTGAATGAAGTGAGAATGTTACCCTGCAAGGCCATTCTATTGAATGGGAAGAAAAACAAGAATAACCCAATGCATTTCTCAATTTAATTTCTCCATAGATTCACCAAGGCCTGAAAAAAGGGAGACCAAGTGCCCGATCCCTGGGTGTGATGGCACGGGACACGTGACGGGGCTCTACCCCCACCACCGCAGCCTTTCGGGGTGCCCCCACAAAGTGCGGGTTCCCCTGGAAAGTGAGTACCGCTTGTCCCTCAAAGCAGAAGTCTCCTTCTTATACACGCCTGATCATCAAGATCTTTCTCTCCCAATTTGGAATTGGGAATGGAAACAAAGTTTTTTAAACTGTGTCAAGCCAATTCCATCTAGCCGTGGGTTTTAAAACACAGTGTATTTATAGAAAATTCAAGGTGCAAGAAAGCCAACAGATCAAGAGACAATTGCCATAGGGAAACAGCTAGCTCCTCACAGTGCCCAAAGGAAGGGCCAGGCCACAGCATCGAGGGCCACCCAGGAAAGCACAGGGAGTTCAGGGGTAGAGGGAGTGCAGACAGTGGGCCAGAGTCTTTATGGTGGTTTCTGATGGGGCAGGGTAAGCAACCTTAGGACTGGCCAGTTTGAATGATTTCAGCAGGCTTGGGGACATAAGGGCTGTCCCTAGTTGTCTAGTACCTGCCTCTGGAGCGATCAGGTCAGAAGAACAGTGCCCCAGACGGTGAGTGCCCAGTAAAGGAGGTAGTTGGACTGTGGGTTCCAGATAGGCTAGATTGCATTTTTAAAGTGTGCTGTAGGAAAGTTGTTCATTCTCTCTGGGAATTGGGTAGCCTGGGAGGAGCAGTCCCTCCACAGTCAGCAAGGCCCCAGATGTTAAATCATCAGAATATAAAAATAAGTCGTGGTTATTAAGCTGTGTGACTACACAGTTCTGTTTCACCTGGAAGCATGGATTCCTTAAGCTCAGGACCAGTCTGCCTTAAGGCATCACAAGGCGGTAACCATTGTCCTCCTGGCTTCCTCTCGCAGTGGGAACACACTCCTTGGTGTTGTCTCAGGGCATCCTGCAGCAATGGAGGGCCCTGAGTAGGAGCAAGCCTTGGCCCCCTCTCTACCCTCAGCCCTGCTGTGAGCTGTCCACTGGCAGTGAAGTAGAGGGCTGCCACCTTCTACACTGTACAATATCGACGTGTTCACTTTGTGAACCTGCTTATTGAGACATCTTTTGGGCCAAAACAAATTGCAAAAATGGAAGTGCTCAACATCAATCTTCTCAAAAGTGAGATTTTGCAAGTCACTAAGTCTCATCAGCTCAGTGCTGTCCTGCCAGATTAGCAGTTCCTCAGACTGGTTCTCTGGCTGTTCGCTCAACCATACTTTTCTCCCAGTAACCAAACGGCAGTGGGGTGTGGGGAGTAGCGGGTGGATGGACAAAGAATCAAAATAATATTACTTAGAAAATAAAGACGACTGTACACAGAACTTCAAACTGCGGGGAAAAGATAGAAAGAACTATATGACCAACGGTGTTCTCCATCCATCCCCCAGGGAAAATCACATTCATGTGAAGGGAAGGTTACAAGCTTTTCAGTATACGTCAAATATCAGCAGAATCATCTCATTGAAGTCTAGTGTAAACATAACGTGGAGTTTAGAGAAGTTAAAACTTCATCAAGCTTGCTGGATTTAATTTCTGAAGTTCTTCCATGCTCACTTGTTTGTGTCTGAATAGAAAGAGCATGGTGGATGATGGAACTCAAGTCATTTAAATGCAAAGTTGAGAGATACATGTGTTAGTGTGCTTTGTATTTATGGTAAAGTATTCTTTCCTTTATGTGTTGTTTTGTGCTTAGTTCTTGCCATGCATGAAAATGTGCTCAAGTGTCCCACACCGGGATGCACAGGAAGGGGTCATGTGAACAGCAACCGCAACACCCACAGGAGGTAATTCTCATTAGACGACAATCACTTTGCATTTAAAAAAATGTGGTAGAAATGTTCCACCAATAAAATAATGGGTTAGCAATGTGTGATGAAAATTGCTGCATCACTATGCAATATGTGACACTTGAAATAGAGAAGAAATATTCTCAGGATGTGCATTGTCAAAAAGAAAGGACCTCATTTGCTTTCTTAGAAATGTGTCTATTAGCAGCCAGTTATGATAATGAAAACATATTACATTTGAAGTTGCTGGGGTTACCTATTGATATAAGCATACAAATAGAATGTGTTGTCGTTTGCTCCAGAACCTCACCATTGCTGTTTTAACATTGCAAAGAGTTGCTTATCCTGTATCCTGTCCAATAGACATTAAAAAGGTCCCAACAGGGCTTCAGTGGTTATAACTATAAACCAGGTGTAGGGTAGACATCATTTCATTGAAATTGCAACTAGCATAAGACACACATATGTGCATTTACATGCAAATGTATTGTGTATCTATAAATATTTGGGGTGAAAATGCTGATGGTTTGATAGTCACATTTTATATTACAAGTCGATTATGTGGCAGTGAGGTACTATGTGACCTATAAGCACTATGCCAGCAAACTTCACATTCTGGACTTTGAATTTCAACTAAGATGAAGAACTGAGTTCCTAAAATGTTTCTAAAGATGCCAAGATAAGTCAAGGAGTTATCATGCTAACTTCTACCGTTGGACACATTGCAATTGGAATGAGCATATTCACTTAGAATATTAAGAAGTTTCCAAAAGCTTTAGTTATTTATCCCTTACATAATGCTTTTATGTTTAAAAATGAGTTTGCTACCTTTCACCTCTGAGATGGGGCTGGGAGCAAGTATTGACACTGTAGTTTGCAAAACCCTTTGGGATCTTTCAGTGTGTGCGTGGTGCTAAGTGAACTATTAATATGACTTAACATTTAGTGTGTGCCAAGTGTGCTGTGAGGCACATGCCAAAACAAATCATATTATCATTTTAACTCAAATCCTCCTGTGTTTCCTTTTTTAAACAGTCTTTCTGGTTGTCCAATTGCTGCAGCTGAAAAACTGGCAATGTCCCAGGATAAAAATCAGCTTGATTCTCCCCAAACTGGGCAGTGTCCTGACCAGGCCCACAGGTATGAACCCCCAACGATGTTCTCGGTGCTCTCTTCATCCAGGCTCCTGCACAGCGGGGCCTCTGGTCCTTCATGTGTCAGTTCCCTGTGGCTTGGCCTCCCCTCTCAGCCCCAGTAGACCTGGGTGTGCAGCCCACCCCACTAGACCAGAGGCTGGTCTAGTTAATGACGTCATTGCTGAAATGAACTACTAAACCCTTCAGAAGTTTAACTTGAAAGTCATCTCTTTGCCAAGGCAACATAATAGGGGTGAATCTAAAAGAATTAATATACCATAGCTTACATTAATCAGAATTGTGGGTTACTAAGTATACCCACAAGTCAAATGAGCACCACTTCACCACTGACTTCACCTTTCCGCCAGGAGAAAATGCCATCAAAAGTCACTCCTACCTCTCCAAAATATGTGATGTTATATATTCATCCTTCAGTTCCACCAACACATATAATGTATTTTAAACAAAAATTCTTTCCATGATTGACAGCTATTAATAAAATATCTCCTATTGGTCCTGGTAGCTCCCAGGCTCTTGGTGATGTCTAGAAATTTGGCAGATCTTATATCTAAATATTAAAGTATGTATACATGATGATATTGAATGTGAAGTTATATGTTTATTGCCATAAAATCATTGTTGTAGGGAAAATGATTTCAGGATTAAACTAGATGATCAGATAACTATTGTTACTGAGTCACTGAAATACAAAACCAGTTATTAGACATTTCAACGTTTTCAAGATACGGCTTCCCTTAATATTTTGCTTCTATAGATTTGATTAAAAGAGTCAAAATTGGCCGGGCGCGGTGGCTCAAGCCTGTAATCCCAGCACTTTGGGAGGCCGAGACGGGCGGATCACGAGGTCAGGAGTTCGAGACCATCCTGGCTAACCCGGTGAAACCCCGTCTGTACTAAAAAATACAAAAAAAAAAAACTAGCCGGGCGAGGTGGCGGGCGCCTGTAGTCCCTGCTACTCGGGAGGCGGAGGCAGGAGAATGGCGTAAAAACCCGGGAGGCGGAGCTTGCAGTGAGCTGAGATCCGGCCACTGCACTCCAGCCTGGGCGATAGAGTGAGACTCCGTCTCAAAAAAAAAAAAAAAGAGTCAAAATTGGCATTTAAATCACATGTGTGAAGAACATACGTCAAGTGAAAATTATGAATTACTGAATAAGTAGCAATTAAAAATCTTAAAGTAGGATTCTTGGTTGGTATGACTGTATACTCTAGTTTCTCCCCAGGTAAGTTAGTTAGCAAATATAGAAAGAACATTGAATTTCATTTTGCTCATTTCTTAAAATATTAATATTGTTTTAGATTAGAATATATATATACAGCTTTAAGGCTCTCAACCAGGTTATATAGGCAATAATAAGATCAACTAGTTGCTCAGATGTTTTTATATAGCAGCTAAAAAGTTTTTGTAAAATCTAATCCAAAAAAAACTCATTGAAAACTTTGGCATTCTGATGAGTTTGACAGTTTTTGGTGGAAAAAAGAGAAAAATATATATTTTAATATTGCTAAATTTTGAAAGTGTATTTGTTTATGTTCTCTTACCATTAGACCACCGCAGAAAATCAGTTGTGTTTTACTTGGCTGGAATCAGTGCTACACAAATATGATGCCCTTGTTTAATCCAAATACAACAATTCTAAAAGAATATATAATTCACATTTAGCTTAGATTGTGATAATTACGTTGAAAATGTGATAGATATTATAATACAGTAAATTTGATTCATATTGAAATGATGGTAATTCAATAGATAAAATATTGAATTGCCATTTAAAGTATTACATATATCAGCAAAAACATTCTGACTGAAGGCAGGTAAAAAGGTGAAAAGCCCAGGAAGAAACTTCCAATTCAGGAATCAAATCTCCAGTGTCTGCACTGCCCCTCTTAGGCATCAGATTTCTGCCAGCTCTGCAGGACTGAGCGGGGCCTAGCATCACTTCTGAACGGAATATAATGACACTTCCTCACTGGTCACAGTTGTGACTATTCATTGCCAATCTAATGAACAAATCTAACAAGCAAACATGCACACCTTGTCAGTGCCTTAACCAGTATTTACTGATGGTAACATGGCTTTTTTTTTTTTTTTTTTTTTTTTTTTTGAGATGGGGTCTTGCTTTGTCTCCCAGGGTGGAGTGCACTGACATGATCTCAGCTCACTGCAATCTCTGCCTCCTGGGTTCAAGTGATTCTCCTGCCTCAGCCTCCTGAGTAGCTGGGATTACAGGTGTGTGCCACCACACCTGCCTCAGTTTTGCATTTTTAGTAGAGACGAGGGTTTCACCATGTTGGCCAGGCTGGTCTCGAACTCCTGAGCTCAGATGATCGACCCGCCTTGGCTTCCCAATGGGCTGGGATTATAGGCCACCACACCCACCTGACATGGCTTTCCTTTAAGAACTCAAAATGCTAACAAGTATCAAATATTTGCTCATGATATCTTCATAAGATTAATGGAGGATTGCATATTCTCAATTTGCTGATGGGAGGACTGGGACACAGAGTACGCAGCATCATGGTAGCGACGTACAGCCCAGAGCATCTTTCCATCTGGCCCTATGGGTCCGGAGCACGCTGCTCTGTCCTGCCATGGCCCCATCTCTCTTATTGTTCAGTGTCTCTGTGGATACCTTCAGGAGCGACGCACGTATCTATTGTAAATTCTGACACTAATGTGCTCACCAGTAGTTTCACTATATTTCTTTTGAACTGCTTCACGCCCCCCTCTCCAGGACAAGCTTGGTGAAGCAAATTGAATTCAATTTCCCGTCACAAGCCATCACCTCTCCCAGAGCCACAGTGTCAAAAGAACAAGAGAAGTTTGGAAAAGTACCATTTGATTATGCCAGTTTTGATGCCCAAGTTTTTGGTAAACGCCCTCTCATGCAAACAGTGCAAGGAAGAAAAACACCACCGTTTCCTGAATGTAAGCTTTGAGCTCTAATACCCATTTCTCCAAAATGCTTCTTGTGTATGGGTGTATGTGTGTATCAGGGACCAGGGGGCTGTACTTAAATATATGATATACTACATACAGCTGGCAGGAGAGGAAATATATTCGAGTGAAATACAATAAGGAAAACAATAATAAGTTGATCAATGTTACTGATTTTACACTGAAGTTACACATAATATAGTGAATAGTTAATGAGTTAATTATTCTGCAAATATGATGCTATTGTTAAATCCAACTACAATAATTCTAAAGAAATATTTAACTCACAGTTAGCTGGAGTCTGGATTACTATATTGAAAAATGTGATGACTGTTGTAATGCAGTAATATTTATTTTTATTGAAATTATGGAAATTAATAGGTAAAATGTTGAAATGCTATTTAAAATATTACTCAACTCAGCAAAAGCGTTCAAACTGAAGGTGGAAGGGAAGGTGAGAAGTCTAAGAAACAATCTGAAAGTCAGGATTTTACTATAATAGAAGAATGGTGTGGCTGTGGAAACTATTCACAAACTGAAGCATTAATATGGAAACACTTAAAATGCATTAATATTCTTTAATGCTAACACATCCATATAGAAGACCATAACTCAAGTATGGTATAATATATAAAACCTGGTGTTTTTTCTTCTTACACATTTCTTCAACTTGTTGGGAGTCCTTAAACATTCTAATGAAAAGGTGTGAAAGGAAATATTGGGAACCAATCGAGGCCATGATTTCTTCATTATGGTCACTTAACTTCCACAAAGGAAGGAGCTAAATAATGCGCACGTTGCGTTCTCCTAGACCATGAATTTTTTACAACATTCTGCATAGCCATAGAATCCCTTTGAGCTTATACCAGGCTACGGAAACTGAGTGCTCTTAAGAGCACAGAATGTTTACCGCATTGTGTGATGTTGATGAATTCTTTCAGAGAACTAGAATTTCATGTAAAACCCAGTAGTAAACAGACTTGAAAGGAATTTGCCTATCAGGGAGAGGTACATTACACTCTAAAAGATATTTTACTTAATCTTATCAAATATACATTCCAACTAACATAAATAACCACTAACAACCTGTTAGATTTAGGGGAAAAGTTATACACACATAGTCTTATATCTATCTATCCATGCAATTTTATGTGTGCCTATACAGATATACAATTTTATTATATATACATGCAGTATACACACATACATACATGTTTAATTCTGGCAAAGCTAGTTACTAAGAGCATTCAATGCACTCATATAGTATGGCTATTGATTTTTTTAAGTGTAAAACATTCAGTGACATTTTCGTATTCTTGTAATCATAGAAATATAACATTTGCCAGTGTTTTAAGTTTTGTTTTATGAAAAGTAAGAATCAAGTATTTAAAATAAAAAAATTAATGTAAAATAAAAAGCTAAATGTTTTTATATTAACTCACATTAAATCTTGAGTATTTCTCCTGTAACCTTGAGTGATGTTTACAAATACTCAAGAATGAAGAGAAATATGTTTAATTCCATCTCTCAGTAATGCTTTGGTACCCACAACAGAAACATAAAATGGAAACTCAGCCTTGATAACTAAATTGCCTTTCTGTTCACCTTGAGAACATTTCCTCCCTGCCCTTTATTTATCTCTCTCTTCCTAAATATGCAAAATGCCAGCTGATTAAAGACTCCACCATCTATTTAGTTCCATCTAGTTGGATGAAGAACAACTTCTACTGGTTTAAGGACAAAACAAGCCTGCATATCAAATAATAAAAATACAATTCCATGTCTAAGCAGAAATTGTTATTGTGAAAACAAATATTGAAAGGACACATTTTTTTTTCCGCCGCTGGAATCACTGGTCCTCACATATATGCAGTTTTCCAGTGGGCTTGCCTTAAACTCTCTGTAGTCCCTGGTGGGTTTTGCTAGTGCGTTTTTCTATCTACAATTTTTGTCACAAATATTGCCAGTGCAGCTGCCCCCTAACATTAGTTATGGAGTTTTTGTCATAAGAAGTGTAAATACAAAAATATTAAGAGAATAGGTTTTCTCTCCACGCAATTACATCATTTGTTCTGTGAATCTCTGTGAAAACAGGTCTGGATAACCTTCATTTAATGTTCCCACGGATAATGGATCGTGTTTTAATTTATTCTTCACATATTTTAATGCAAGAAGTTACGTCTTTAAAAAAAACAAATCTACTTAATGACTAAAACCACGTACATGCAATTGCTAATCAAATCTCTCTTCAACAGCAAAGCATTTTTCAAATCCAGTGAAATTTCCTAATCGACTGCCTAGTGCAGGCGCCCACACCCAGAGCCCTGGCCGTGCCAGCTCTTATAGCTACGGTCAATGTAGTGAAGACACCCACATAGCAGCAGCTGCTGCCATCCTGAACCTTTCCACCCGCTGCAGGGAAGCCACAGACATCCTCTCCAACAAGCCACAGAGTCTGCATGCCAAGGTAGGCCAGTCCAAGAGCCTGGAGGGTGGGCCAGCGACTGAACCGTGAGAATAAACTGCCTTTCATGTTCCTAACCACATTCACTACCACTCCGCTCCCCCACCTCTGAAGCGATCCCCTCCCTGTCTCAGGAAAAGGCTCAGAGGAACGCAGGCAGGGATGAGTTTGGTGGGGTCAAAGAAGGATGAAAGTGTGCACATCTTGCTCGTGGCTCCTCTTGAAGTTGGGGTACCAAAGTTTGGGGAGAAGTGAGTTACAGAGATGGGTTGGGGAGAATTCACACATTTCAAAGCTATTTTTGAGTATGGGGAATTTGGCACACAAGAAAAGAGGGTTGCTATTAAAATAAATCTCAACAATGGAAGCTTTCCAGTGTCTGCAAATCAAAGATGGTAAGAAATGTGTGACCAAAGGGTGACTTGTAAAACATTTGCAAAATTGACCCATGAAATTTTATCATTGCACATGTTACTATTGTGTAACATAAGATAGTCTAAGTCGCCACAGTGTTCTCCAGGGACACGTGGTAGAACCTGGATACATTAAATCAACAGGAGATGATTCAGAGAGAGTTGAGAACTCAGGGCATTCAAATACAAAATCACATTCTGTGAAGTTTTAAAAACACCACATTTCTGAAGCCCATGAAATTAATCACATTTCTCCAATACCCTCTCCTTTCCTTCCCAATTGATACTGAGAAGTAACTTGATGAAAACAAAAAAACAAAGATCCTTCATGCCCTTTGACAGCGAAGGGCTTCTGATGCCACAGTCACAGCGATCCACAGAGCTTGTAAGAGCGGCTCAGCCATTTGCCCCTGCTGTCAGCTGGAGCAGAAACTCCTATTTACAGAAAGGGCTTCAGTTCAAAGAAATGATTTCCCTACCTAGATGGCTGAAGCCACGGAAATAAGTTACCCAGACTCACTTGAGAAGAAATGTTACCCTGCTTTATGTGGAAGATTTTCTGAGTTAAATGCCAACCCTGAAACCTGAGCACTTGAAGTCCATGGCTTCTCTTTTCCCCTTTAAGTGTGCGGGTCCCCGGCATGGTCAGCTGCTGCCTGTGCTGTGCCAGGCCTTCAGGAGAGCAGGTAACACGGTGCCACCGAGCATTTGACAGAAGAATCAGAATTAGCTTCTGGACAAAACTGAGCCAAGTAAACCCCAGGAAGAGTTGGTGGCCAAAAACCACTCAAAAACAATTTTTAAACAAATGAGGTTCTTAAACAAAGAGAAGCGCATCCTCTAAAAATAAAAAAGATATACATATGTATACCAGGCCATCCAAATTCAAAAGATTCCTAGTCACAAATTATTTACCTAGGTGATTTAGGGAATTTTTTAATGCAACTTTATTTTGAAATTCGTTTTTTAAAATCTGAATAAAGTTCTCATTTTAAAAGGTATATATATTCTAGTAGCTAGCTACTTGGAGAAATACTAAAATAGCTTCCTTCTTAGTGCCTTATCATTTGGTTGTTCAGGGTGTCCTATGAGAATATAGGAACCAATATTATAATTATTAATGTTACTGAAATTACTTGGGTAAGTGGTTCTAGAATGAATACTGTCCATCTGTGCCTACAGATGTGTTCCTGTTCCTCAGAATTCTGCCTCTCACCTTTAGATTCTCCGTCTTCTAGGACACTGACACCAAGCAACATATCAAAGATGACTAAAATTACAGTGCTTTTTCCCTTATCAATATACGTTCTCTTTTAAAAACATATTTTTGGTTAGAAAAGCAATTGGTAGATGGACACATTTCAAAAAACCAAATAGTCGATTTTCAGTGTGTGTTCTCGGGCTCCTGGCGGGAGAGCTTGGTGCCAGGCTGCTCCGCGGAGCTCATCCTGCATGCCCAGGTGACAGGAGCTCACCGCATGCCTCAGCCTTTCAGTGCCAACCAAGTCTTAACTGCAGAAACCAAACAATAGATGTGGTGACAAGGGTGGAAGAGACAGAGAGCACACAGATTGACTTCCCAAAGGAGTTTGTTATGCTGGGAGTTCTAAAAACCATTTTCCCATGAAAATTGTCTTCTTTGCATAGTAGTTGCTAAAATGGGATAAATATGGTGACCTAGATGGTCACTTTGTGCAGAATCCTTCTGCCAGTGCATGCATACACACACACACACGCACACGTGCACACACGCACGTGCACACATTTGCATACGACTGTAACAATTTCTAGAATTCTGTCCTGGTTGGACCTTATTTTCTTAATGTTGAAGAGAATCTCATATATACCTGAATTAACAAAAGATAATTATTTTAGCAAAAGTGAGAGAAAGCCAAGGTAATTCACCCTGAAACTGAGCCTCTGATGAAACCATGCCTGATGTGGGCCTTTTCTGTTGTCAGTTCGCCTTTTACTTAATGTAGGAATAAGCAGAGACAGACTTTGCCTCCACATTGAATGCGAGCCTGATTCTCTCTCCCCTATTATTTGATTCTTCCATGATGGTAGGCTACTAGTATGCTTATTTCTCATCGCTCAAATCCATAGATCTCTTGAGTTTCATGTGTAGAAACAAGGGTCTTGAAATATACAGCTTCAGCGGAGCACTTTGGATATATTAGCAAGATATCCTGGTAGATGGACTCATAGCTGAACCAACCAAAGGTCTCTAAGTGCTGGACAGCCCCGGCCACAGGTTAGGGTCAGTCATAGACTTTGCTCTTGAGGAGCTTACCAATAAAGCAGGAGAAAAGAAGTGACCCTCTGGGAGCTGTCCCTGCCTTCTGGGTAGAGAGCTAAGCTTGAAGAGGCGAGCTTCCTTTCGTCCAGGAAAGGCATGGTGGCTTTGCAGGGAATTTGACCAGAACTTGGTTGAGGACTGATTTCTTAGTTCCCCTCTATTTGCATCCAGTTCTTTCTTTTACACAATGAGCATCTCTCATTTGCATAAAGCATCCCATAGGAGCATGAATTACAGATCTTACTGTCACCCATGGGCACAACCTTTTTGACATCAAGCCAAAGAACACTAACTTTGAAATTGCCTTCATGCCCACATGTTGGGGCTAATACGGATTAACTGGCTGTACGCAATCTTACAACGGACTCCAAGCTTAATGGGCAATCTGAATTGGTGCTTTGTAAAATTGCTACTCTTATAGAAGATCATAGGTTGTTTTCAGAGGGGCAAAAAAACTTTGATTTCCTACACACTTTAAAAATATAATGAAGGATGATATGGACATTCCAAAATGTTCTCCTCCTTGCAAAGTCCCTTGGCTCCCAAAACTGGAACATGTCACTGATCCACCCCTTCCCAACACAGAGGGCTTATGCTGCTGTTCACATGGTCATCCATTCACTCAACCAGCATCCCTCAAGTGTAGGCTCCCATCACGCTCCAGTCTGAAGGCACCAGTGCTGTGACATTGCCAATCACTGCCCAAACCAGAGCCCATCATGTCCCGAAGGCAGAAGATTTTCAAAGGAATTATTTATTTGTTAAAATACAATCCAGCATATATATAACATATTTGTACCACCAATATTGACTACATATGTTTTAAGTATCTCTTTGAGGAATTAAATCAGGAGAAAACAATTAACACTATCAATGCTTAGTGGATGACATAATGGTTAAAGGTAAATTTGTCTGAAGTATTAGCTTTATTTACTTAATTTTTTTAAATTTTCTTTTATTATTATTTTTTTGAGACAGAGTCTCACTCTGTCACCCAGGCTGGAGTGCATTGATGTAATCTTCACTCACTGCAACCTCTGCTTCCCGTGTTCAAGCAATTCTCCTGCCTCAGCCTCCCAAGTAGCTGGGACTATCGGCTTGCGCCACCACACCTGGCTAATTTTTATGTTTTTAGTACAGACAGGGTTTCACCATGTTGGCCAGGCTGGTCTTGAATTCCTGACCTCAGGTGATCTGCCTGTCTCGGCCTCCCAAAGTGCTGGGATTACAGGCATGGGCCACAATATCAACTTTATTTTGATTCTAAAACTTTCTTTCTTTTTTTTTTGTTTTGAGAGAAGATCTGCTCTGTAACCTAAGCTGGAGTGCAGTGGTGTGATCACAGCTCATTGCAACTTTCAACTTCTGGGCTCAAGTGAGATTCTCCTGCCTCAGCCTCCCAGAATTCTAGGATTACAGGCATGAACCACTGTACTCAGCCTGATTCTAGAACTTGGTTGTAAGATGCATATAGTGTCCTTCATTTTAATTTGGAATTAATATGATTTGGAAGACACAAAGGGGCCACAGCTCCAAAGAGCTCCCCTTTGGTCTTGCCACAGGGCCACAGGTGGGAGAGAGTCCTGGGTCTACTGGGCCTCCTGAGCGTCTTCCTCTGGTACAGGCCTCAGGCAGATGCACCCCCGTTTTCTTCCTTCCTCCCACCCTGATCACCAGAGGTAGGAACAGGCCTTACAGTCTATCTTTATCCTCATCACTGCTGCTTGCCAGGCATTCTGTTGTTTGTTTTGGTGTTTTCCCCACCTGTTTAGACAAAATGGCATATGCAGAGTGTGCCTTAAAAGAAAACAAAAAATTGACACTTGCTTGAAATGTTTAAAGTTCAAAGTCTGTTTTGTGCTTGAACAAGGCCTAGAAATAACATGATGTGGCATCGCCATTCTTGCCGCCTGGTATCAGGAAGTCTGGCGGCCCTCTGGGCGGTGAGAACCCTGATGCCGCCTTTTCTGGTAACTTTAAGAGCAGGGCAGATTTGCCACACATTCTGAGTGAAATGTTATGAGGGTCTTGGGTCAGAGATCACAAGGCACTGGTTGATACAGGTGCAAGGAAACCAGCTATTTAATAATTGGCTTTTTAGCCCTGTGCATAGTAGCCTAAGGACATGTCTCTTTTGGTATTCAGAAACCTCGTCCAAATCCCTGAATCTAAAGTAAAAGTTGAAAAAACAAACTCGGTCAAATTATTATGATTATCAGCTGTCATTTATGCAAGATGTATTATGTGCCAGGTACTATAAGTAAGCATGTGGCTCACATTAATCCCTTTTAATCCCCTAGAATTTCTGTAAAGCAGATATTATTATCCCATTTTGCAGATGAAAAAACAGTAGTACAGAGATACTAAATTACTTTCTCTGAGTGGCACAACCATAATTATTGGAACAGAAATTTTAACTAATGCCTGTCTAACTTCTCTTCTTAAGATCTTAGAGCAGCTAAGCTCCTGGCCAACCAGTGTGGACTGTGATTCCAAGTCCCAAAGATCTTGGGGAAGCTGTTTTAAATTTCACTTGAATTTTATACCTTATATTAGTTATTTCTTCTCCGATCATTTCTCCTCTGTTTATATTGAGTATATTTTGCAAATTTATAATCTAAATAGCTTTAATAATTACCATTTAGTAAGAATAAGATATTTTCATTTCATCTGTTTACTATTAATACCCTGCTTACTTTGGAAACATACTTAATTTAACATAGCTTTCAGTATGGAAAAGATACCCCCAAAACAAAAAACCTTGAAGCAAGAATAAAAAACATCAGCTGCTAGATGAAAGCCAGGGGCTAATTATAGCAGAAACCTAATCAGAAGGACACTTAGTTTTGCACTTCCTCTCAGCCAAGTCAACAGGGAAAAGATGGCAGGTGACCCATCCTGTATTCAGCAGACAGCTTGCCAAGTCAGGAAAACAGTGCTTTCTTGTTTTCTCAATGTTTGGAAAATTAATAATTTTCACAAGATAACATTTAAGTTAAGATCCCAATTTTATCTTTACTTTGTCACAAACTTTGAATGTGTGATCACTTAAAATTGCTAAAACAATATAATGTTATCATTTTCCTGAAAAATAGAAGAAAATAGCCACAAGCCTACCTTCTACATACAAAGACCTACAATCGTTTTTGTATTTTCCTTTTGGTTCTTTTTCAGAAAACACATTTCTCTCTTTTTTCCCTAGTTGTAAATATAGTAGGAATGCCACATTGTTCTCTGCTGTCAGTGATACAAGTATTTTCCCTGTAGAAACAGTGTTCATAATTACCACTTTCCTGACCACATAATATGCCATTAAATAGGGGTAGCATATTTTCATTAAGTATTTCTCTGTTAGTGGCCATCTAGGTCACTTCTTATTTTGTAGTAAAGGTAAGGATTACAATGAGTAATTAGTTCAACCTTCAGTTTAATTATAATTTACATTAAATTATAAAATTACCTTCACTAAAAATCTATATGCATAAAAAATAAGTTTCTTGAAGGCAGAAACAATCTATTTTCCAATTTTATTTTCCCTAGAATATAGTGTCTTGAAAATGTGAAGTGCTTTCTCAATAACTTAATGAATAAATAAAACATAGGTAGTAGCATCAGTAGCTCAAAAGTGGCTGGAATCGATGGCCTGGGATATCCCCTCTCAGTCGGAAAGAGCATGAATAGCAGTAATCCTATACCTATCCCCAAGAGAACTTTAAATTTAAATACTTAAAATAAGGATCCAGAATAACACTTGAAGAAATCAGAAATTAGAAGTTTGAGGGGGTAGGGGATGCATATCTGCCACAGCACCCCCAGCCCCTCCCTCCCTTTTGTGCTGCCATTTGGAGTTTCAAGCACAGAGAGAAGTGATGCCCATTGATACTGCTCTGAATAAAAGCCCATGCTGTAAACGTGTGATCGCCCATCTATGGGCAGAAAGGGACCCTTCTCTGGTATTGCGTGTAATTGTTGAAGGCATCTGTGCGCTCACTTAAAGCCCATCTGTACCCTGCTCCCCAGCGAGCCGCCCGCTCTCTCCCAGTGAAGTCAGGTGCTCAGAGCAGCAGGCTGGGCGCAGGATGTAGGAAAGCGCCTCTTTTAAACATTAGGAGCGATTGACTCGAAATGTGTCATCGTAACAACTCCTAGAATCTATCATTGTCTTAATGGACTATTTAGAATTTTTGTCTGTAAAAACTAAAATATATATTAATCTTGTCTTGGAAGAGTTGATATTTTTCAGAGAAATCGAATCTGCACTATTTATGGGTTTTGCACTATAAAACTCTGCAGCCCAGTCACATGGCTTCTTTTTCCTAAGCCATCTGTCACAGAGGTCTGGAATTTTATGTGAATGTTGGTTGTGCAGTCTTAACCCAAGTTTTTTTTTTTTTTATTTTTTTATGAAAAATGTCAGCAACTACAATATTTAGCATTTTACTTTACGTTGGCCATTAAACTTGATTACTATAGCTCTGTTTCATTGCTATTTACATGTCAGCTACGAAGCCAAAAATTGTTTTGATGCGCTCCTGGCAGAATACATTGTGAGATCGTGGAGAGAGAGCACACGTGGCACTGATATGGTTAATATCTTGGATTTTTGTAACTAAGGTTTATTAATGCTGGTATAAAAATGTATTTGATATTATACAGATGGCATAAGATGTTGTGGTTACTAAGTTATTATCCCGGATAAGCTGCACTGCCAAATTCGGGGCTTAAAACTATCACGAGAGATTAAACTATTTACTAAAAAGGGACAGAAAGATACGGCCAAAGCATCTTAGCACAACATATTAGAAGTGTATTTACCTCCCACAAATGTAGTAAAGCATATCTATCTCGTAGGCTGAGAGATTGAAAATACGAACTTTGCAGGTAAAACAAGCAAATAAAAGAAGGGTTTTTATTTTCTAAGTCAGGAACAAGCAGCAAGACCAGCTGACGCAGACCAGTGGCGCCTGCTTGGGGGCTGGGAGTGAGGGTTGTTTAAAGGGAAGAGTTAAAACAAATCCCCTGGGAAGTATCTGGTTACCACAAGAGTTAAGGATCTCGCTAAATATTCAAAGAAGAGTGGTCAACCAAAAGAAAAAAAGAGAGTAGCCAAATTATCAGGAAGTTAATTTTAAATTGATGGAAGATGGAGAAAATACCAGAAAGGTGTTATTTGAGCCATTTAGGAAAATGACAGGCACCTTCCTCCTACCTTCGGAGAACGACTGCATAGTAATGCTCACAATTCATGACACCACATGAGCTGTCCCAGTGTGCGAATCTCGCAGAACATATGAGGCACGTGAGCAGTTTGCTGGAGCTTGAACCAAATACAGCATGGGGTACTGTTCCTCCTGACACAGAAAAACAAAACCAAGAAATAACACATGGCAAAAGGTAGAAGGTATCTCAAGAAGAAATATTGTGCAGTGAATTTAGTTTTAAGTCTCACACTAAATGTGGAGAAAATAAGCCCTTTTGTAGTATTCTGAAGTTTTCACTATAGGGCTTCAACCTCAGTCAGACTGTCAGCTGCTACCCAAAGCACGCCCTCTATCACCACCCGGGTGAAGTGTGGTTTGCACTGTCTGCCTCCCTGTCCCTGCCCCCTACAGTTGAGCAAAGCGTTTACAGCTCAAATAGCCTAGGGTAAAATGTTGCTTTTATATTAGTTTAATATTCCAATACAAATTATCTTCCAGCGGGTTATTTTTGCATATTTCTCATGTGAGATTAATATTATGATTTGAAGGGTTGGAAAGTTATACATGCCTTTTGATAAACACAAATGTGAATGCTTTAAATGATGAATTGGGAGTGATAATTCGGTAAACTAGAAAAGAAAATGTAAAGCTAAACTTGTAAATGTGTGTGTGTGTATGTGTGTGTGTATATATATATATATTTTCATAAAACCATTTTAGCCAATACATTTAGTATTTGGAGCATCTTATTTACATTAAGCTTACTTTGTTTAAACCCAGAAACACAAAGCTCACTAATGGGGCTGTTCTTAAAGTCTGCCTAAGAATTGAACATTACCCAACGCAAATCAGAAAGCTAGATTTAAAAGCAGATACACTTACATAAAAGCTTACATTTAAAATGATCCCTTAAAAGCCCCACATGGCTAGGCTGTAACTGCAAACTGCTTAAATGTTTTTCTGTTTCCTATTGTATACCAGGGAGCCGAAATAGAAGTGGATGAAAATGGCACATTGGACTTAAGCATGAAAAAAAATCGAATCCTGGACAAGGCTGCACCCCTAACTTCCTCTAACACTTCTATTCCAACTCCTTCCTCTTCCCCATTCAAAACAAGCAGCATTCTGGTCAATGCGGCATTCTATCAGGCTCTTTGTGACCAAGAGGGCTGGGACACTCCTATCAACTATAGCAAAACTCACGGGAAGACAGAGGAGGAGAAAGAGGTATTGTTTCCATATGTCAATCAATAAGTTGAAGACAGCATGATTGCAGGGTATCACTAGCTCTTCCCTCGTAAATTATGTTTCACATTCCTGTTTAGATGATATGTAATTTTGTACCTTGCTTTAGATTTTGATAAAGTGATGATTTTTAATGCCAGAGGAAATTCATTAACAAATCCAACTTTCATTATCACTTGCCTAAAATAATGTCACTATAGTGAATTTTATTCCTATTAAGGCTGAACTTTTGTGCCCTGCACAAGAGATTATATTATCTATCCCTTCATATAACAGCTGTAAGGGGCAATGTATTGCTCAACATTGAAATGCCAGCTTACTAATTCTCTCCGAACCAGAGGGTTGAAGATGAAATCAAATCAGGGTCAAGTAAGAATCTTTGAGTCATGTCATATTTCTTTCCATGGTTTTGTGAAGGAACTGTGTTAGCATACCTGTGTATAGATTCATTGTTTGAGGCATTGGATCGAAATGTTGGATGTCTAAATCAAATTAATCTTAAAGTCAAGGAGAGCTATTTGTGTATTTGATTATCTTGGAGGTGGTTTTGGCCCCAAAAGCCAGATGGTGCGACGGTGCAGGAATCCATCTAACCTTTGCCTTATGGCTTGAGCCACCTGACTAGGCCTGATTAGCCATGGACTACTCAGTGTCATTCAAAAGAACTGATAGTCAGAACCCTCAATTGTTTAGACTCTATGTAATTGCAGATGTGACCTTAATTATTACAGTAAGTAATCCTATTTAGCTGTTTGTCAGGGAAGTTGTTGATGGGCTTGCCAGTTGATATGTGTAAAGAACTGAAATAGCCATTCTCTGCAGAAGTGTGCAGCGCCCTTTACAGCTTTTTGAAGTTTAGAGACTTTGGGTGGTGAGATCTAATTTGATTTTTGCACATGCTTAACATCTCAGAGTATAAGTCAACATACACAGTTTTGATCACAGGATTGGGCTGTTTTTCCTTTCCCTTTCCCTTTCCCTTTCCCTTTCCCTTCCCTTCCCTTCCCTTCCCTTCCCTTCCCTTCCCTTCCCTCCCCTCCCCTCCCCTCCCCTCCCCTTCCCCCTCCCCTCCCTCCCTCCTTTCCTTCCTTCCATTCTGTCTTTCTTCCTTCTTTCATTCAGCACAGTTTTGCCAACATCTCCAAGTCCAGTCAGTGACATGGGACCTGAATATACAGAAATGAATAGGACACGCTTCTACCATGCCTGTGTGCCACAGTCATGTGTGTGCTCAGAAGACTGACCTGTAACCAAATATACTGATAAACAGAGTAGCACGCATAGGCACACAATGTGGAGAGGGAGGAATGGCTAACTGCATCAGGTGACTGGGTGTGGACCCCTGGAAGACGCCCTCAGCATCTGTGGCAGCCTGTGTGTCTCCACCACTCAAGCCATCACATGAAAGGATGAGGGGATTCACACACTGCAGCTTTTGATTCGATTCTCTCATACTGGCCTTAGTCATTTTATTCTGCTTGGCTTTTCAAAATTCACCCAAAGCATCTAAGGATGGCCTTAATTAATCTATCATAGTACTATTTTAGAAGAATCATTTATTAAAATAATACACGTTTGACTATAACGAACATGAAACTGACACATGCAAAGTATAAGAAGCTCATTTGCCTTAAATGATGACCACAAACTGGCAAGTGTGCATCTTTCCCCCGACCACTGTGCCCACTGCCACCTCAGACTTGTGCCAAAGAACAGAGGTTACACCTAATTCTGACTATGTGTATCATCTAAAAGTCTGTCAGTGTTCACATCCCTCGAGTATCCTGCACATCTTGTCTGAAATGGAAGTAAGCAGTAAGCTAGGAAGTGGGGAGGTTAAGAGGCACAACTGTGATGAGATCAAAATTGTTGATGCAGAGTTAGCTTTGGGTAAGGGAATGTCCTTCAACTCACACGACTGCTTAATCTCCAGCCAGGCCACTGCTGCTCAGATCATGGCACATTGCATCTACAGCCCTAAAGGGAAACCTGACCCTTGGCCCAGAATGTGTGGATGTGGGTCCAGTAGAAGTCCTTATGTTACAGGAAGGACAGTGTCTCATGAATTAAGTATAACTGCTTCGTGCAGGTTCAAAATCCCAACATGTTCTCATTTCTGGGAGTATCTCAGTGCCATGTGCAGAGTGGCATTTGGGCTTTCTGCACTCATCCTTGTGATTATGGCGAATGCATTCACCAGAAAGTGTTAGGCATAAGCATCCAATCCTGGGTAGTAACAAAACACATTTGCCTCAAGTAGGTTCTCATCTTCATCTAGGGTGTCTTGCATTGTTTGACACTGATTATACTTTTGTGCCCTCAGCAACGATGTCAACATTGCACTCTTCATGTTCTCAGAGACCCGTTCCTATCACCTCCTTAGCCACAGTTCTTGTCAACTAGAATGCCAGAAAATGAGATTTCATAAGAAATATTTTACGTTACTTTTTAATCCTGCTTTTGCTTAATTTCAAAAAATCATCTGGATTTATCTTTGTAGCTTTATAGATTCAACTTGAGTATGTTTTTATCTCATGCATATATATCTGGGACAGTATTTCATTTCCCAGCAAATTCACACACACAAAATGGGATTCTTTAGAGTGGATTTATGCTCTTTACAGAATGGCTTACTTACTCCAGGTCTGACAACACAGGCTTGGACTGCTACAGTTTTCAACCTAAGTATTGTGACATCTGGAATTTAGAAGCTATGTGGGAATTCAGTGTCACTAAGAGTATCAGGGAGGACTTTGCAGATGCTAAGTGAGCTCTTGGACTCAATGTGCTTCCCCTAGGTTTGAGCTGACAGAATATTTGTCTAAGCTAAATGCTTATTGTCCCAGCTATCTGAACAGGGTGATTCATTGCTTGGGGACGCTAAGGCTGGTGGAGACACACACATAAAAGTACTTCTGAATCACTCTAACTCCTGATATGATTTCTCACCCTTGTTCTCTGTTCCCTCATCTGTGCCAAGGTAACCTACTAACAGTACTTTTCACATCCTGTTCTGAATCTTGAAAATGAAAAATGTAATGTTTGGTAGGTATTATTCTGAAAAATTAGATTGTATTAAATGTGCTCATTGAGAAGCTATCAGAGGGATACCACGTACAATAAAATAAAGGGAGGGAACCTTTATATACAATATCTCGTTATCCCAATAACCTTGAAAGGCAGGATGATTATCAAATTTTTTAGAGGAGAAATTTGAACCCTAGGGAGCTAAAGTTGTTGCTCCTGGTCATATGAAATTAAGTCATAGGCCTAGAATTCCCTACAACAAAGAAAAAAAAGAGAAAAAGGTAAATGAAGAAAAGGAAAAGAAAAAAAAAAATCACCAAAAACTGGAGACTGCTTAGGGAATATTGAGAAAAATTTAATAGTACAGACAAGAGAAGAATGAAGAAATGGCAGGTGGCAAGGTGTGTTGGCAGCAACAGTTGTCTAATGTGTTTCTGCGGGTGCAGGACTGGAACTCGTGTGAGCCAGGCAAGTACACACGATGTGACTACAAAAACCAGTTCCAGGACTGGTCCTATCTTGTCACTTTCCAGTGAGCTTCCCTGGAATAGCTACGTGCGTTCCAGACAATCTATTGTTCACATTTGGAGACTGGAATGTGGTATGTCCCTGCTCCCACCCACATCTTTCCCTTTGCCACTTTCCTCTCCCCCACCACATAAGACACATACACAACCAGAAATTGAGTGATTATTTCTAATTCATTGTTATCTAGTTCATATGCACAACAGTTGCTTAATTTTGGTGGTAATTTTCAGAAAATATTGTCTGTCTCTCTCAGTGAAATAGCCTGTCCAGATGCCCCCTAAAAAAAATTCCTGAATTTGGAAAAAACTCAAAATATCTCGAAAGGAAAGTGTTGAGAAATAACTAGGGCTGTCACTTTCATTCAACTGTCAGTTCTCCAAAGATTTCAGGGCTTAAAATGTTAAGAGTGCCAGATGCTATTATCTGTTATTCATGTTACCATTATGTCCTGGTCTTTACTGAAATCAATATAAACTTCCATCTGTACATTAAAGGAATTTCATTGCATGCATGTACTCTCTAAACACACACATATATACCACATCCTCTTTTACATAACCACAGAATAAAATTATTATTTTCAAAATTATACTTTAAATTTTGGAAAAAGATTTTTACAAATGCTATTGATTTACACTGGCTGCCGTTTAGGAATTCATTCAATATAAAATGCCTCCATAACAGAACTAATTCTTTTAGTGACAGCCACCTGGATTTTAATACATATACTCTCTGCAGGTTTCTAAGGGTAGAATGTTGAGCAAAGAAAAGGGGAAAAGACAATTATTTCATAAAACAATTGTATGCATATGAGTCTATATGTTAAAGTTACGAAATATTTAAAAGGTCATATGCAATAAAATTATCCTGTTGAAACATTACCACATATTACTATACCAAAATAAATAACATATATCCTGCAAGTTTTATATTTATATTATTTAGTGAAATAATAACTTAAACTTTCATAATTGATTATTTCTTTCAAAATTCCCCATTCTCTTGCCTTCCGTAATTATAGATTCAGGCCTAAAACAACAGCTAGAAACTTGTAATCATCTGTAAATATACAGGTCTTCTTGGAGAGACTTTGTTCATAACTTTGCCATAAGTAATAAAATGGCTCTTTTTACTTTATGTCATTTTCATTAAAAAAAAAAAATCAGCATCTAAACAGAAAAACGAAGGCTGTTCCACGTTGAGACAATATTGGATTTAGCATTTGTATCTACTTTCAAAAAGCCAAGACATTTTTAAATTATAGTGGAAATTACTACTCAGGCCAAATCCAGATAGGACTAAATAAAGTGGATGGTGGAATTATCAGGTTTAAGGCCTTAAAATTTGGAATTTTTTTCATTTTAGCCATTTGCAGCATAACACTTTAAAAGGATAAGCGCTAATCATCTATTTTGCTGTAGATCCCATGGAGGCAGCATTAAACTAGCACCTCTCTTTGCATCCTAGTGTGGAATTATGATCAAGCATACATTTCTCTTTATTTTTAAATTGTGTATTTTTACCGGCTTCTATTTTCAAACATTTACCAGTAAAACAAATGAAACACTTAATACCATCAACAATATTGATAAATTGTCCTAAATCAGGTTTCATTAATATAATCTGAAGACAGTGTCAATTGAGACTGTGTACCGATGTGTTTACTACAGTGTGCTCTTATGTAAAATAATTGATCGAATTGTTATCCAAGTAATTAATGAAAAAAATTACATTTGCCTTGATGACTGAGATCAGTATTTAGAATTTTTCTTTGGTTGGGAAAATCCAGGAATTTTGTTTTTTTTCTCATTGCTTTTGAATGTAGACTCAGAATTACTAAAATTATATTTTGCTATAGTATTTTTATATTCATTTAATTTAAAAATATTTATTTTGAATGATTCAAAATAGTTTACTTACCTTAAATATATCAGTACTTTTGAGATTTAGAAGACAGTTTTTTATATTAGTTCATCTGATTTTAATATTAAATCCAGAAATTATTATATTTACTGAATACAAGATTAATGATGAAAGTAAGCTAATTATGTGATCGAGAAAAACCATCATTTGTTATCTGTGAAATAATACATCACTTGGTAAATAAACTCTGAAAGGATTAGTGAGCCTTCTTTATGAAATCAAAGTCGGTATTAAACTTAAGAGCATGAAAATTAGGAACATCCAATAAGAGATTCCATCCAGGAAGGAAAGTGCTACAGGATACCAACTTAGAAAAATAAGTAATTTCAGAAAAACGGGAAGTAATACAAAAGTAAAAGGAATTATCCAGAAAGATCAAATTAAATGCCTAAATACTGTAGCCTCAGTTATTACATATTTAAACGAGTAATTTAGATCTTTAAATTATTTGTACATTAAAAAGGGCATTCAGTTAACCAAAACTTCCCCCTTTTCTGTTTAAAAGTTTGTGTGATTCATTTTTGCAATATTTCTTTGGCTTTACTGCTGTTATGACTGCTGGACATATAAACAATTCCTGTGCTCTCTAGGGAGCATTCCTAATACAAGAAACCTTGAAACATACTAAAATACTAATTACATGGCTCAAGAAATACCTACCTCTGGAATCACATTTGCCAAAATGTGAACTTTTGAAAGGTGTTCCATATCAATTCCACTTTTTCATTCTTCACTTAGGATAAAGATCTGTTACAACCAGGACATATTATTATTATCTCATTTATTTCTTTTCTTTTTTTTTTTTTTTTTTTGAGATGGAGTCTTGCTCTTTCGCCAGGCTGGAGTGCAATGGCACCATCTTGGCTGACTGTAACCCCTGCCTCCCGGGTTCAAGTGATTCTCCTGCCTCAGCCTCCTGAGTAGCTGGGACTACTATGTCCAGCAAATTTTTGTATTTTTAGTAGAGATGGGGTTTCACCGTGTTAGCCAGGATGGTCTCGATCTCTTGACCTTGTGATCCCCCTGCCTCGGCCTCCCAAAGACCGAGGATTACAGGCATCAGCCATGTTGCCTGGCCTATCTTATTTATTTCTTATACAAATCCTCTAAGGTATTTCGGCCAAGTCCAAGTCCAAATCCAAAGCCAAAACTCAATCCTGGCCCCAGTGATTTTAAATCTAGTTGTCTTTCCAGGATTCCCTAATGACTTCTGTGTTTGTTTTTGTTTGTTTCTTTCTTTTCCAGAAAGACCCAGTGAGCTCTCTAGAAAATTTAGAGGAAAAAAAGTTTCCTGGAGAGGCCTCTATACCAAGCCCTAAACCCAAGCTTCATGCAAGAGATCTCAAAAAGGAACTAATCACGTAAGTAGTGCCCAGTGCCATGCCCTCGAAGATTCTGGAACAAAGATTCAAGTTCATGACTTAGAGTTACAATATCCTGGCTTATACAGTTGACGTTAGGGTGATTTCTACCAGTCAGCAATTAAATGTTAGACATGCACCTCACCTGAGCTAAGAGGGTGTACGTGGTCATATGCTAACAGAATTAAAAACCTGTTGATTAAAAAACAAAATAAGATAACACAATTAGAATGCTTCTTAACCTGATAACCATTGACCCGCAGATCTAAGGGTTGACTTCGGGGACTCTACCAACCTTCTGACACTTGATGTAAATTGTTATTTGAGCAAGGGAGTTACTGGTTTTCATCACATTTTCAAAGGGGTTCTGAGGCCCAGAAGAGTTTAAAGGGCAGGGTACCCGAAGGCAGTAAGTACGAGTTATGTACTAGTGGGTGAATGAGTGAATGAAATGCAGGAAACTGTTTCCCATGTGTGATTAAATATTAATCAAATCTACTCATATGTAAATCTATTTAAAGCTGTCAGTTAATGAGAGTTTACAGCAAGGAGTAATGCGTCCACTTAGGACAGGCCTGTACCCTCTCTTCTATATCCCTCATCAAAAATATGTTTAAACTTTTCAAAGAAAAAATACTGTAAAAACCTCTCCTGACCCAGCTTCCACCTGGTCTCTCTATGTCCCCCTCCTTTTCCAGCTGAACATATCCAGAAAGTTGTTGCTACTGTGTGACGCAGTTTCCCTCCTGAATCTTTCCCAGACAGATCTCCAAGGACCTTCCTTCCCTCAGCATCCCCTTCCCCTGTCAGGATCTTGGTCCTGGAGCCTCCTGTTCCTACTTGACAGGCAGCAGGATGCCACAGAACTGATCTCCCTCCTCCACAATCCATTGGCTACACTTGGCCTCTAGGATGCTTCACCTCTGGACTCTTCCCTCATCTCACTGCTAGCCCTTCTAGACTAATGTGTAGCCATCTAAAGAGTAGGGTGCCTCTAAGCTCCATCCTGGAACCCTTCCTTCCTGCTATCTGCACTCACTCTTGCTGAGGACTCCTTGGCTGCCACCGTGCTGTGACCTCCACATGTCCACCCACCACCCCACAGGAGCAGTGAGTGCTCCCCTCCCCCAGCCTCTCGCTTTGTGCTTCTTGCTTCCCCTAAGCACTCCAGGAATTAGGCAGGGCCTTAGGCCTGCTGTTCCCTCTGCCCAGAATGCTGTCCCCAAGGCCTCTGCAGGGCCCACATCCTCTCCTCCCTCAGCACAGCTCTTCTCTCAAACATCACTTATGTGAGAGGCCTTCAGGCTACTGTGCTTCCCCACCCCCAGCCCTGATGCTCCCATTCCCAGATCTTTTCTTCACTTCCCTCCACTCTATTTTCTGCCTCCCTCACCAAGAACAAAGCCTCAGAGGGCACGAAGTGGGTGCTGGGTGTCTTCTCTCCTCTGTCTTTGCTCTCTACCTTGTCTGCATCATTGGTTCCTAATATTTATTGTGCAACCTCTTATTTCCCCTTATTTCCTCTTCTCTACCTTATTCACACCATTGGTGCATAATATGCACTGTGCAACATCTTATTTACCCACCTACATGGACAGTGACTTGGGAGCAGGCAATACATTTCAAATGCAGGTGCCAACAACAGGGCCTTGAACATAGTAGGTGTTCAGTAAAAATTATTCCAAGTCTGTCATTGGATTGCCCTGTTGACATGCGAATGACTTTAAAATAAGCTTAGACTCTGCATTCTCGAAGGATTTTGTAGGCAAACATTACTGGCTGAAATAGCATGCTCCCTTATAAACTTGATGTCTGCCTGGGGCTTGGTGGTTGATGGTAACGGATGGTTCCAAACATGCTGGAACTTAAATCGGATTGAACACGGTTTCAGGTTCAGTGACTTGAGACCTTAGAAGCCACTTCTAACTTTTTAGAAACTTCTTAGAAGCCACGTAGTCCAGCCAGACATCTTTTCCCATGTGGACCTGCTGTTAGAAACTTTTCATCTTTGTGTGTATTTTTTTCCATGTGTTATTTTTAATATCTTCAAAAATGGCAAATTTTTATCCTTCAAAGGTAGATTGTTGGAAATTGATAAAAGTCATCCCAAACTAAATGTAGTGTAAAAGATTGAAAATTAACCTGCAATACCATTTTGGGTCAGAAAAATGAAGCATGATTATTTTGCAAAGGGCATTTCTCCATAGTGTGAAGGTAAATATAAAAGAGGAAGGATTTCAAAAAGATTTTGAATGATTTTTTGAATATAATCATTCTAAAAATTCTTAAGAAATTACTCTCTCAGAGGCCTTTTAGTTCATCCATTTTATTTTATTTTATTTATTTATTTTGAGCCAGAATCTTGCTCTGTCGCCCAGGCTGGAGTTCAGTGGTGTGTTCTCGGCTCACTGCAAGCTCCACCTCCCAGGTTCAATCTCCTGCCTCAGCTTCCCGGGTAGCTGGGATTACAGGGGCCCACCACCACACCCAGCTAATTTTTGTATTTTTAGTAGAGACAGGGTTTCGCCATGTTGGCCAGGCTGGTCTTGAACTCCTGACTTCAGGTGATCCACTCACCGTGGCCTCCCAAAATGCTGAATTCCAGGCGTGAGCCACTGTGCCCAGCCGAATTCATGCATTTTAGACAGGGTGAGTGCTTTAATGGCTATCACTTATTTGCATGTATCTGCGTTGGTATATTTGTTTTGTAAAAGTCATACTACATTCCATGTCACCCTGTCCTTATTATATTATGCTTTGTGTTTCTAACAGTACCTTGATTACTTACCAAACACTTTGTTTAGATTAGGACTTTTTGGATGTCACTAATTATCTTAGAATTTCCTTACGGTTTCAGTGCCACTTATTGAGAAAACTAGCTAGTTTCTTTCTTCCAATTTTTATATTTTCATCTGAAAGCCTTCCCAAAATATATCACCCAACTAATATTGGCACATGTCATTATGTAAGATATTTCACTCTAGATTTGTAATTTAGTCTAGCTATCAAAATTCTAAACTGCAACTTTTCCCTGTATAACGTTGTCTCCAGTTCTTTCATCATTTCTTGAACTTTTAATACCGCCAAACTTAAAAATAAATTATCAGCTAATTAAATGCATATTTTATTATTATATTTTATAGGTAATTTATAGCTGATGTTTAAAAACCGCTGGCACTTCTTGGCTTCTCCTGGCAATATTAATGGGAGTAACTTAAAAATATAAAATAGGTCAGGCGTGGAGGCTCACGCCTGTAATTCCAGCACTTTGGGATGCCGAAGCAGGTGGCTCTCCTGAGGTCAGGAGTTCGAGACCAGCCTGGCCAGCATGGTGAAACCCCATCTCTACTAAAAACACAAAAATAAGTCGGACGTGGCGGTACACGCCTGTAATCCCAGCTACTCAAGAGGCTGAGGCAGGAGAATCGCTTGAGCCCAGGAGGCAAAGGTTGCAGTGAGCCAAGATTGAGCCCCTGTACTCCAGCTTGGGTGACAAAGCAAGACTCCATCTCAAAAAAAAAAAAAAAAAAATTATACATATATACAAAATGCAATGCTGTTTTTGACACTAGGTGGCGATATATTTCTAAAGTGGGAATTCCCAGGCAATTGAAACACCTCTCTGAATATTCCAGTTGTATAATGTTCAGAAAAGATTTTTTTACATTTAGTGAGTGAATGGCACTTGCAAGATAACTCAGTCAAAATGTTGATAACTGGTTTTTGTCTTTACTTTTTAACATATATTTATAGCTTTTACAGTATTTTTCTGATATCTCATCTAGGAAAAGGGACGGGGAAAGGAGACAGAATGACTTAGCTTGGATCAGACCCTGAAAATCAACCATTCCTTTGAAAGACGGGAATGCTGTAACTCTTATAGTTTCTTTAGTTACCTGAAAATGATTGGAAAGTGGATCACGGGAATAAAAATACTTAGAAAGTGAGAACTCAGAAAATATAGGAATAGTGTTAGTCTATCCCAAAATGTCCCTTCAAAAAGCTAAAACCTGTATTCTGTATATCTGGATAAGGCCCTGCTTTAGGCAGGATGTCAAAAAAAAGAGCAGACGCTTGACTGGCATAGTTGATGTTCCCCTCTGATTATTGACACCACCGCAAATAACACTGAGTAGGCTGGGGTCCACCCTCTTATTACAAATGAGTGACTTTCGAACACCATCAGAGGAAACTAAATGACTGAGAAACCAAGGAATCTATTAATTGTGGAAGAAAACTGCTGCCTAACTACCTTCTTTCATGATTATTATTATTTTAGAGACGGAGTCTCACTCTGTCACCCAGGCCGGAGCACAGTGGCACAGTTATAGCTCACTGAAACCTCGAACTCCTGGGCTCAAGCAATCCTCCTGCCTCAGTTTCCTGAGTAGCTGATTACATTATTTTTACAACACACATAAGGTGGACAGGACATGACCAGGTTCTGAGATAAAATGAAATGCAGGGGCACAGATCTTAATGGAGTGAGATTCTTGGCAGATGGCCTGAGAGCCTATTCTTAGGCTAATGGTGAATTAGCAGTTGTCTTTGCTGGCTTCAAACTTTGGTTGAAATTGCTTGAATGCTTTACAGACTGAACTTCTTGCCTGCTTCATACTGTCAGCAACTTTCCCACCTAAAATATCAGTTTACATTTTAGTCAAAGGTTTTCAGTGTTTTCTAAAATGTTTATAAAGTTACTAGGCTGCCTTGCTCTTAAAAACTCACAAAAATTTCTTTCTGGAATATGTCATACAATTGGTGCTGGTATCATAGTAAAGCGTGGGTTTCTAATATTTATTTTTTGTAACATATGTATTTTTCTTTTTCTTTTCTTTCTTTCTTTTTTTTTTTTTTTAGACAGAGTTTCACTCTTGTTGCCTAGGCTGGAGTGCAGTGGTGCGATCTCGGCTCACCACAGTGTCTGCCTCCTGAGTTCAAGCGATTCTCCTGCCTCAGCCTCCTAGTAGCTGGGATTACAGGCATGCGCCACCGCACCTGACTAATTTTGTATTTTCAGAAGAGACGGGGTTTCTTCATGTTGGTCAGGCTGGTCTCGAACTCCTGACCTCAGGTGATCCACCTGCCTCCACCTCCCAAAGTGCTGAGATTATAGGCGTGAGCCACCATGCCCAGCAACATATATATTTTTCAAATGAATTGAAACATCTTTGATTGCTAACTCACAACATCACTAGGACATCACTTTCCCACATCAGTGGAATCAAATAATCGAATGTGATGTTGAAACAGATACCTAAGGAAGTAACTCATCATGCTATGATTTTTAGTTTTCTTTTAGGTAGTCTGCTGGTTCTTATATAATATAAATCCTTGATACACTAGCTTCTGCATGTCCTATACTGTGTTAACTTATCTGGCACAGAGAAGCTACCTCCTCCATAATCTACTGGGCAGAGGAAATTAACCTGTGAAATTCGCTTGTCTCTAATGATGTATTTTCTATTGACTCAGCTGTCCAACACCAGGATGTGATGGAAGTGGCCACGTGACAGGAAACTATGCGTCTCATCGCAGGTACCCGATGACCTCATGTGCAGTCAGATTTTCATGGTCTTGTTCTATTTTAAATACTTATTCTCACCCTTTCTAGCGGTATATTATTATCTGAAGCAGGAAATGGAGAGTGAGTTGGTTGAGTTTTTGGTTTATTTGGTTTGTCAGAAATAAAATTATGTGATATAAAAATCATGATTCTTGATCAAAATGGTTTTCTGATCCTGTAGTCCGGGTTGTAAGTGAAAAGTTGAGTTCATGTCAGGCTTCGGTTCTGTGTGGCTTGAGGACTCAGGTGGAATGAGGAATAAATACAACAGAGTGACTCAAATAGACCATTTGCCCCAGGGAAAGTAATACCCTCAATCCTGGGCAAATAACAAATTGAGGCATTCGAGAGATTAAACAGCGCAAAGGGGCTGCTTTAATCTTTCCACCTACTATCTCCATTGATGGGATTTGTCTTCCCTTTGGAAAAGCACCATCACCTGGTTGTGCAGCAGGAACAGACTCTGTATGTGGGTGATCATTGCATCCTGAGCATTAGAGCTGGGGAGTCTCATTGGGCTAAAGTCATTCCTTTGATAAACAGAAACTCTGAGCCTACGAAAAACAGTTGAAGTGCCACCAGGCCAGACTGGTGAGAAAAGAAAAGCCAGATTCAAAGCCAGTTATATTTTTCCCCAATCCCCAGTCACCAATAATTTAACGTATGTTCACGACTCAGGACGCCATTTGACTCAGATTTGTATATGTCAGTGTTGTGTTGTGTTTTTTCCCTCATCCCTCTCTAGTGTTTCTGGATGTCCTTTAGCAGATAAGACTCTAAAATCCCTCATGGCTGCCAACTCTCAGGAGCTTAAGTAAGTGCGGGAAGCGTGGCCGGCTTGCCCTTCGTCCACACGGTAGGACCCTCTCGTTCAATGCCCATTCATTGCCCAAGTGATCAGCAACAAGCAGTACGTCCTGCCTGCTGAGATCACAGCAAAGGCACTTTCTCACTAAAGCGCTGGGATGACTGAAACAAAATCACTGTCATTTAATTTAGTTAATTTGCTTGCTTTGGGAGCTTTGTATGGTATAATATTTTTTAAAAGAGTGATGTAATAAACGCAATACTTTTTTCTGTAAATTTCAGAATCTATGTATTAAATCAGACCTGTGAAGGTGTCACAAAGCATACCTGCCGTTTAATGTTAAGGAAATTGCATAATTCTTAACCTGCTGAACATTTTGATTCATACAACTGCCTTTCACTTTGGGTGCCAAAAACAGTTTGGGCTCATTCCTGCCTCATCTACAAGATCTCGAAGTCACATGTATATTAACTTTTACTTAGTGATTTCATTTTTCCTGCTCATCTTCTTTTAATACAAAGTTCTCATTTGTTTATTTTCATATCTTATTATATTACATATAGAACAATAAACGTTTATAATCTACCTTTTACCTCCTTTAGAAATATGATAGGGCATAAATTTTAAAAGATAAAAAAATAGGATTAAACAAAACTAATTAATTTTTTTTACAAATAATAAAGCGTTAGAAAAAATGAGTGTTATTACACCTACTGGTAAAACAATATACGTAGGTAGCAACATCAGCGTTTGGTGTCTAAAACACATGTAATATTTCATGTATTATATTTTCTTAGTGTTTTGTTAGTCTTTCACTTTTTCAAGTTGTTTAAAATATTTTTATCTAAAAATTTTAAAAACAAAGTTTATGAAAGAAGATGTGATAATGGACAGATAAGAAAATTTGGAATCTTAGTACCAAAAATAGTAAAAGAAACTATGAAATATGCTTTTCTCATTTTCTTTCTTTTTTCTTTTTTTTTTTTTTTTTTTTTTTTTAGATGGAGTTTCGCTCTTGTTGCCCAGGTACCCAGGCAGGAGTGCAATGGCATAGTCTTCGGCTCACTGCAACCTCTGCCTCCCAGGTTCAAGAGATTGCCTGTCTCAGCCTCCTGAGTAGCTGGGATGACAGGCATGCAACCACCACACCCGAGTACTTTTTGTATCTTTAGTAGAGACAGAGTTTCACCATGTTGGCCAGGCTGGCCTCGAACTCCTGACCCCAGGTGATCTGCCTGCCTCAGCCTCCCAAACTGCTGGGATTACGTGAGCCACCGTGCCTGACCACTTTTCTCATTTTTGGTGTAAAGTACAATTTACTTTGTCAGTGTGGATTTTAGAAGTCATTTTATTGACTTGCAGTTTTCTAAACTAAAATGTAAGTAGTAAGTAGAAACTAAGAATTAACAGACTGAAGAGTGAGATGTACCAAAACATCTTACGGAATCAGCTCTACATTTCTACATTGCCACATCTTAATTATAGCTATTGGGTCTCTTAAATATTTTCTCTAAAACTAACTTCTAGAAAAATGTGGGTAATACACTGAAAATATGTAAATTTAGACATCCTATTGCAATACTCATTACTTAATATTTTATGCAGCTTTCCAATAAGTAATGTCTTTGGTTTTTTTCCATAGATATGTTTTTTCCATACAAGAAAATTTCTTCCATGCAAGAAAAATCCAAGAGACATTTTATTGACTTCTTGTTTAGATATTCATGGAGAATGCCCAAAAGCTGTTATTCAACACAGATATTTCCATATCAATATGCTATAAAACCACTTTTTTACTAAAAAATGTTAATAGAGAAAGACCAGCATGTAAAACTTTCTTATTATGGACAATACGTATTATGTCTTTAAATGGTTGATAAACGGCTCAATGTAGGTTGCTCTGGTTAGCCGGAAGAGATGCGTGCTCATTTTATATTACATTGGAAAAAAAAAAAGGCATTTATTCCCTATTTTCTGACTCAGACTTGAATATAAATGCATTCTGTGAAAGTTCAGGGGAATTGAATTGAAGAAAAGGGATAGTAAACAGATTTTTCTTTGGATTATCGTTTTTCTCAAATGGAAATTTTGATCTGAACCAGTGTTCATTCAGAAAAGCAAATATTTTGTGATGGCCTCTAGTTTTTGTTTGTATTTGGGATTTTCTAAAAAAGACAGCAAAAAGGTGAAAGTCTACGTAAACTTTTATATTTAAGAATATTTTGAAACCTATTCCTAATCAGCATTCCTAGTAGAAATTGGATTCCCTGTCGTTTTTCACTTTTCTCATTCCAGATTTAATGGTTGATTGTTGATGTAGTTATTGATGGATTTTCCCCAAAGACTGTTTAACTTGGGCCATGAGGCAGGACAGACCAGGTGCAAATTATTGAGGTTCTTTGGTAATCCCATAAATGTTCCAAGTCTCTGCAGTTCACAAGTATCACTGTTGTTCATCTGAAATCGATGGATTATCATAGTGGCACAGCATATCAGAGAAAATAAATTATTCATAAAAATCATTTGGAGGCCAGGCATAGTGGCTCATGCCTATAATCCCAGCACTTTGGGAGGTCGAGACGGGCAGATCACCTGAGGTCAGGAGTTTGAAATCAGCCTAGCCAACACGGTGAAACCCTGTCTCTACTAAAAATACAAAAATTAGCTGGGTGTGGTGGCATGTGCCTGTAATCCCAGCTACTTGGGAGGCTGAGGCAGGAGAATCACTTGAACCTGGGAGTTGGAGGTTGCGGTGAGTGAAGATCATAGCATTGCACTGTAGCCTGGCCACACAGCAAGACTCCATCTCAATAATAATAATAATAATAATTTGGAAAAGTTTTCTTTTTACATAAAAGGTAATAGCTTTGCATGATGTAGACAGAAGTCCAGCAATAAGTTGTGGACTGATTTTCAAGTCGCTTCTATATGAGGTTTTAAAAAAAAAAGTACAATAAATAACAATTAATCCATTGTCGCTCAGTAGTCATATATCCTAAAAAATATTTAAATTGATTATTAATCAAAACATAATTACATTTAAGCAAAAACAGTCTCACACAAAAAGCAGCTCATTGTTTTTAGTTATATTTGGCTGTGTGACCCTGCCTACCTCCAAGTGAACTGCAGAGACTTGGAACATTAATGTGATTACCAAAGAACCTAAATAATTGGGGTGTGACCCCCGCTCCCTCCACTACAACTTCTCGGCCCATGCTCTCTTCCTGTGCCTTCCAGGTGTCCAACCCCAGGCTGCGATGGCTCGGGGCACGTGACTGGAAACTATGCTTCCCACAGAAGGTAGGACTAATCCTATTTCTGCGATGTGGAAATGAACTTGTCGACAGCAGTCAGAGAGATCACATAATTTTGTTTTGTTCTTTGTCGGGTCCCTATTTCAGCTTGTCTGGATGCCCTCGTGCAAGAAAAGGTGGTGTCAAAATGACCCCCACCAAGGAAGAAAAAGAAGACCCTGAACTGAAGTAAGTGCAACAGTTGAGACACGGGGGTCAGCTGTCTCTTGTTGGCAAAATGGGAGGGACCTTGGTTGGGATACAATTGAACATAGATTGAGTTTCAGGGAAGGTGTACCCTGTTAAATATAAGCAAGAGTCAAACTATTTGGTGGTTTGAGAAAAGTTTCCAATTTATAGCTACATTTCCACAGCTCTTTGATAATGCAAAAGATTTTTTTAAACAATAACAGTTTCACACGTTTCTCAATTGTTTTAAAGGAAAGTAGTATTGTGGAAGTGCTATACAGTAATAAATATGGCAGCATTTTCCCCTGAAACTTTAATTTTGCTTAAGGAGAAATTATATCTAAATTGAATTCCTTCCTCTAAGGAAGGTCATGGATGGTATATGCAGATATACACGTAGAAATTTAAGTTGTTTTCTCAACAACAGTTCTAAATGCAATATTTAAACATTTAGAAACCCAAATTCCAATTCTATGAGTAATGTGCTATGTAGCATCTGTCAAGGCAGTTAACATGTTATACTTTTGGTCCTTGGAAGCAACATAACATAGTCCTTATGTGATTGGCTCTAGACCTAAAAAGTGTGGGCATGAACTTGGCTCCACTTCTTATAAAATGGGCGGCAAGTTACCTGAGCTCTCTAAGCCTCGTTATTCCTCATCTGCAAAATGGGATAATAATACTCTCTACCCAGTAGATTGTAGTGAATATTAAGTGAGATAATACATGAAAATCGCGTAGCTCAGAGCCTGCTTATGCAATGCTGTTTTGCTAGTTATGTTGGCATCTTTTATTAAAACTCTATAATTGCATGGCTTGTTCTCTGGAGAGCATAGGACTATCACTGTCTTCTTCCCGGCTGGTAATGTCTCTGCTTTCTCTCTAGATGTCCTGTGATAGGGTGTGATGGCCAAGGTCACATATCAGGTAAATACACGTCACACCGCACAGCTTCTGGTTGTCCTCTGGCTGCCAAGAGACAGAAGGAGAATCCTCTCAATGGAGCCTCCCTCTCCTGGAAACTGAACAAGCAAGAGCTACCACATTGTCCCTTGCCAGGCTGCAATGGGCTGGGCCATGTAAATAATGTTTTTGTCACCCACCGAAGGTAACATGAGTTTTCTGTCTTTTTGTTGTAGTGTTGTGATCGGTTGCCACCTAGGCTGCCTTGGGGAGAGGGTTGTGAACAACCCCCTAAAGGTTGTTCACTGTAACAGTTGAGATATCATAACATGAAGTCTTGTTATATAGATATTGGATGAGCATGAAGAATGAAAAATGTTATTTTCTCTATTTCTTAAAATTACTACACAGTTTTCAAGTGCTCTAGAAAATGTAGAGTTGGTTTTATTTGTATTCTAAAATATTGCTTAGGCTGCTATTTCTTAACGGTTCAGTCATTTAATGGTTTACTTCAGTTCCAAGTGGTGATATCTCTTCTATTATGTTATGTAATTGCAAACTTTCACTTTACATATTTATAGAATTCCCTCTGTCTTATGGACTGGCTCAATTTGGGGCCAAAATTGTAGTTACTTTGCTACTGGGAGGGTGTGACTCATCCGCAGCAGCCGGAAAGAAAATGACACAGTGACTGCAAAGTGAGCAGCAGGATACAGGAGATCTGGAAACCCTTTTATAGTTCCCAGTGACTGCGTTCCTTTACCACTGAGGGTCACGCATTCAGCCAAGCCCTTTGTTGGGTAATAGTGATCTTTGTCCAGCTTTTTGGTTCACATTCCACCTAAAGGAAAAGATTAGAAGCTTCCCTACATACTTCTGCCATCAGTGGGGTCTTGTCTCATCTTTTGGGTCACTGTACATGATGCTGGTTTAAAATCCAATGAAGCTTTAGGAAACCATTGATGTTTTGTATATGAGCAGTGTAAACATTGAGCAAAATTGGGGCTTTTTGAGATTTTGCTCATTTCTAAAGATATATATGGATGATATCAGAAAATAAAGCCTTCCAGGAATTGCTTGTTTGAAGGTATTTAAATATTCAGTAAAACCTGTTTATGGAGAAAACTTGACTTTTTCAAGTGGTTTATTTTTTGATGGTTTTCAAATGTAGACCTATGTCCACAATAGCACACATTATTTTATTCTGAGTTTGAATTATTATTTCATATTCAGGAACTTCACTCACAAATCAAGTGTGCCTAATGGCACATTTACTGTACAGTAGCTTGACTTCCTTGTAATGACCTCAGTAATATCCATATTGATCCTGCTAATGAAATATTAATGCTGTACTGTGGTGAGCACATCCCTCAGTTAGCAATAATGAAGTTATCTTTAAAAATAGTGAAGAAGTTTTAAATGATGATGCCAAGGCTTGGTGAGGATGTGGAGCAACAGATACTCCCACACTCTGTAGGTGGCAGAGCAACTGGTAGTGCCACTTTAAGAAGCAAATTGTCTTTAAAGAGTCAAGTTGAAAACTGAACTATGCACTTGCCCCAGCACACGGCCAGACTTATGCCCAGAGGATCTCTGCCTATGAGAACCCGGAGGTCTGTCTGACCACACCTGAGCAGCGTTGCTCTACCAACTCCACGCTGGGAACAACCTTGGTGCCCACTAACAGTGGAGTGGGGAAATAAGTAGTGCTTATTGGTGGCGGTACATGCTTGTGGTTCCAGCTACTGAGGAGGCTGAGGCAGGACGATTGCTTGAGCCTGGAAGTTTGAGGCTGCAGTGAGCTATGATTGCTCCCCTGCACTCAAGCCTGGTGATAGAACAAGACCCCATCTCTAAAAAAAGAATATCCTTTAAATTGCAAATACACATCATAGGTAGCTGTTTACATATTCTGTATTTCGTAATGAGAGAAAGAAAATTCTGATTTCAAAAATATAGGCTGAAATATTAACGCCAAGGTACTATTTTTTTTCTTTCTTTCTTTTTTCATTTTCTTTTTTTTTTTTTTTGAAACAGAATCTCACTCTGTCACCCATGCTGGAGTGCAGTGGCTCAATCTCGGCTCACTGCAACCTCTGCCTCCCCAGTTCAATGATTCTTCTGTCTCAGCCTTCTGAGTGGCTGGGACTACAGGTGCACGCCACCACACCAGGCTAATATTTTATTTTTAGTAGAGGCGGAGTTTTGCCATGTAGGCCAGGGTGGTCTCGAACTCCTGACCTCAGGTGATCTGCCCACCTTGGCCTCCCAAAGTGTTGGGATTACAGGCATGAGCCACCGCACTCAGCCTCCAAGGTTTTATTTTCTAGGACATAGAAAGCAGTGAAGAATGTAGATAAAGGTAATTCAGATTTCAGCATTCTTGACTCAAAAGTTCTCTTGCAATTTAAAATATTTAAGAAATTGGATTTAATTTGGGGTATTCTCTTTAAGGTGGAATACTCTTTCTTTTCTATGTGTAGAATTTAATGGAATTGAATTTCTCTTGTGATTTCAAATATTTAAGAGACTGTATTTAATGTGGGGTATTCTCTTTAAGGTGGAAAACTCTCTCTTTTCTGTGCGTATATTTTATTTTATTTATTTATTTATTTTGAGATGGAGTCTCACTCTTACCCAGGCTGGAGTGCAGGGATGCTATCTCAGCTCACTGCAACTTCCGCCTCCCAGGTTCAAGCAATTCTCCTGCCTCAGCCTCCCAAGTAGCTGGGACGACCATACCCAGTTAATTTTTTGTATTTTTAGTAGAGACGGAGTTTCACCATGTTGGTCAGGCTGGTCTCAAACTCCTGAACTCAAATGATCCGCCCATCTCGGCCTCCCAAAGTGCTGGGATTACAGGCATGAGCCACTGTGCCAGGCCTATCTGTAGAATTTAATGGAATAATATCGCAAAACGCCTGGCTTATGCCTGGCACACAGTAGGGGTTCAACACAGATGATCGCCTTTCCTGTTTGTGAAGATAATATTAAGCCTATGTGTATATATGCAGGATAACTTATATGACTTGGAATAAAACTCACAACTGACTTTTATATGTTACAAATTTGGTTCTGAAATCTCTGAGGTTCTTCATATTCTTTCCCATCACTTGTTACCTAAAAATAGCTGACACGTATTCAGGGTTCTCGCCCATAGACAGCGCTGTTATAAGTAGCTTGCATGGTTTATTCCTTTAAACCTTTACAAAACCCTGTGAACTACAGGTATTATAACTATCCTCAGTTGATAGAAGATGAAACAAGCACAGGAAAGTTATGGAATTGCTTTGAATACAGGTTGGCATGCTAGAGCCAGTGTCATCCTGCTTCCCCTAAGGTTTGATGATGGGTCCTCACCATGGGCCAGGCACCAAGCTGAGGTGTCACAGGCACCAGTGCGTAGACATTTTCTCAACCAAAATGGGAATAATTACAAAACACACTTTGTAGGATGGTTAAGAACAATTTGACCCACACACTATATCCATATTATATTTATATAATAACTACCTTCAAACCTTGCTTTAAATCTCTATATGACAAAATATTTCCTTTGAAAAAAATAGCAATCTGAGAAGATAACTGATATGTTAAAACACACACACACTCACACACACACACACAATTATGGATATTTGTAGCTTTAAAATCAGAAGTCCTGTGACTGATAGAACTCATTTAGTGCTGTGCCATATCTTTGTGATTTTACTGAAGCTTAGTAATATATTGTAAGCAATTATGTTCATGACATACATTGTATCACCTGCTATTTTGCTTTAAGAAGGCAGAGGAAGATATAATTTAAAATTGCAGCTGGGCACTGTGGCTCACGCCTGTAATCCCAGCACTTTGGGAGGTCAAGGCGGGCAGATCACTTGAGGTCAGGAGTTCGAGTCCAACCTGGCCAATATGGTGAGACCCTGTCTCTACTAAAAATATAAAAATTAGCCAGATGTGGTGCGCACTTATGATTCCAGCTAGTCAGGAGGCTGAGGCAGGAGAATTGCTTGAGCCCAGGAGGTGGAGGTTGCAGTGAGCCAAATTGTACCAGTGCACTTCAGCGTGGGTGACTTAGTGAGACTCTACCTCAAAAAAAAAAAAAAATAAAAAATAAAAAGTCCCTCACTATGTCATAATAGAATGGTAATTTTGGTCAAAACCATAGAAAGCACATTTTTTTTTCTGCCTTTCCAATATGGAGCCAAATACCTCAGCCTCTTAACATCTGCCTTCAAAAGGAAAAAGAACTTTTAAAATGTTTTTCCTGCCCTTTTTTTTTTTTAATTTAAGATTCATTTTATATTCTGGAAGATACGAAAACTCTACATTGGAAGATACAAAATCAAGTGGCATTTTGGAAGCAAAGCCTCTCTTTCATAACTATGTTCTTTGCTTCTAAGTCATGTAATTATTGATGGAGGCTTCATTAACTTTTCCACAACACTGTGTCACCCTGAAAGTTTTCCGGCGTGTTGTCTGAACAGAGTAGATCCTTTAAGGGTGAGGATCAGAGAAGTTCTAATGAGATATTAATATCCATTATGTTACAAATGGACTTACTAAAGGTCACCTTTGAATATCCAGTTTGCCAAATAAATATTCATGATTATTTTCTCAGAATACAATATGTGACATAAAACAAGACAGACGTGCAAACTCCCCGTAAAACAGATAATGAAACCTTTATAGGCCACAATTGACAGTGAGAAGCTTCTGAAAATAGAAGACACAGTTTCCAAGTTGAGTTTGTGCTTTTCTTTATTTTCTTTTTCTGTGTAGAAAAATGTATAGCTTATCAAATTAGGCACACTACATACCCTTTTCTATATATGTAATAGCATATGTCTATTATTTTTTATATTTCATAGACTCAGTGTAGAATAATTAGTATTCTTGAAAAAATACAGTAATTAAGCACACATTTATTAAGGGCTTTGCTTCAGAAATATTTTCTTTCACTCTGCCAAATATCCCAAGCTTCAGGGTGAAATGATTGCTTTATAGATGAGTTGTAACTAACTTTCTGTGGAGAAAAAGACTTTAAATGACTGATTATGCTCATCACTATTTTGATCTAAAAATTGTTTCTATGAAAACGCAGCAAGATTGCAAAAGAATTAATGGCTGGATAGAACAACAAAATTATCTGATCATAAATGATGAAAAACAAGTTTTCTTCAATGTTGTCATTTATCATGCTGGTGCAATTTAAATAAAACAGATGACATTAAGGGAAAGAAACCCTGCTGAAGAGTGCCACTACTAAATGGAAAGGGTTATAAACACCACTGCAATGTAATAGACTGCCTCTGCAGTGATTGCATCTGAATACACTTGTGGCAGCTCCTCTTATTCTCCTTCCAGGGTACAGATTTTTTTTTTTTTAAATGAAAAATGTTGTAAAAATTAAATAAAAAAATTAAATACATTCCCATAACCAAACTGAATTTGCCATGGGGGCATGGGATAGGGCTTTATTTTGGCTTGTATTAAGTAATTCTATAAAGATCAAGGAACACTTTATATAAAGGCAGGAAGAACTGCTTTATTACTCATGGAATTTTGACTAATTGGGAACAATTCTTATTCATAATATATATGTACAATTTCACATTTACAGAAAATAAAGTAACCACTACTAAACAAAAGAACTTACTTAAAAGCAGATGAATAGCAATTTAACAAAATAAATTAAATAATAATTGTGTATCAGCAGTAACTATTTGTATCTTGATTTAAGGAAAGAAAGCAAAACATTTTACATTATTTGAGGGCATTTTGCCTTTGCTTTAGTGGGTGTGTATTCATTACTCTCTACAAAGAGACTATGGGTTATAATGTAATTAATCGACAACAAAAACACAAATAGTAGGTTGTGAATAAAACATCTTAATGTTTATAAGAAATAATATACATCTCATACATTAGTACAATTTCTATTTTCACAGCTTATCTGGATGTCCTCTCAATGCACAAGCTATCAAAAAGGGCAAGGTTTCTGAAGAACTCATGACCATCAAGCTCAAAGCAACCGGGGGTAAGAGCGCAGGGCTGGCTGTCACCACCTCCACCAGGGTGTAGACCCTGGCTCCCTAAAGGGTTTCGTGTGTCAAAGTATTCACTAGGTGGGAAGTGTAATTTTAATGTACAAGAAGAAAGGTTTCCTCAGATTTGAACTAAAATTATAACTGTTTAAAACCAATTTTTTGGTGTCTTCCTTATTTTTAAATAAGGAGTGATCTCCAACAGAGAAAGTCAGGCAGTGAGGTATGATGGGTTAAGATACACTGGTGGTTGGCAGGGCATGCTGGTTCATGCCCGTAATCCCAGCACTTTGGGAGGCCAGGTATAGAGGATTGCTTGAGGTCAGGAGTTTGTGACCAGCCTGGGCAACACAGCCAGACCGCATCTCTTTAAAAAAAAAAAAAAAAAAAATTAGCCCAGTGTGGTGGTGTACACCTGTAGTCACAGTTACTCTGGAAGCTGAGATGGGAGGATTGTAGAGACCAGGAGCCCAGGATCAAGGCTGATGTGGTAAGATATGATAGTGCCATTGTACTCCAGCCTGGGCGACAGCAAGAAAACCTATCTCTAAACAAAACAACAGCAACAAAGATACACTAGTGGAAGTTGTGTCCTTCAGTCTCTCTCACATGTGTGTGTTCTCTCTCTCATGTGTGTTTGTGTGTACGTGTGTGTGTGTATGTGCACATTTTTCTGGTATAAATCCGCTATAAAAATTCAGGAAGCAATTTCTAGCATCTGTATTTGAATCCTTCAATTGTGTTCTTCTGTGCTCAACATGATATTTTTATAGAGATTCTGGAAGGTTTGGATTTAGCATCCAGATCTTTACCTAAGTCTACATTTCCCTAGATACTTCCTTAGTGTCAATCCGCTTTGCGAGTTCAGAGATACAGTTTCTGAGTTCTCTGTTTGGATCCTCCAATTTTCCTTTGATTCTTGGATGCATTTCTTGAGATTTCTAATCAGCATTATCTGGGGCCTGTGTTGTTTTCCATCAAAGATCATTCCAAAGCATTTGAGAAACAATGGCAGAGCAATTATTTTGCTCTGGAGACTTTATTTGATGGCATCTTTGGCACATGACTCGAATTGAGCTGGGGACTTTCACTGTTGTTACTTTCCCTGAAGCTCAATCTTTTTAACTTGTGTGTGTGATTTTTAAAAAGCAGATATGCGGTATCCAAGGGAGGGAAAGCACTCGAGCTTCCTACTGTTTCCCTCCGAGGCCTTCATCTGCTTTATTTAAAGGGGTCCTTGGCGGGGGTGCTCTCTCTCCGTGGGTCCTCACCGCTAAGCGCCGAAGGAGGGGAGTGTACACGCAGAGGAGGAATGAAGGCCCGGCTGCCTCCTCCCGTCTTTCCAACATTCACATGCTCAGTAAAAGAGCTTTTCCCTAGATGTTCTGACTCCTCCTTGGAAATACTCCCCATTCCCTAAATACCTCTAAGTACATATGCAGTGACATTGGGACAATTTAATATGTATTTATTTATCGTCCCATTTCAAATAGTATTTAAAGAATAAGGACTGCAAAGCTACATGAACTTTTTTTTAAATGCTGGTTAAAAATTTCATTCGGCCAGGTGCAGTGGCTCACGCCTGTAATCCCAGCACTTTGGGAGGCCGAGGTGGGCCGATCACAAGGTCAGGAGATCAAGACCATACTAGCCAACACGGGGAAACCCTATCTCTACTAAAAATACAAAAAAAAAATTATCCGGGTGTGGCGGCACGCACCTGTAGTCCCAGCTACTCGGGAGGCTGAGGCAGGAAATTGCTTGAACGCTGGAGGCAGAGGTTGCAGTGAGCCAAGAAAGCACCACCGCACTCCAGCCTGGGCAACAGAGTGAGACTCTGTCTCAAAACAAAACAAAAAGAAATTAATTCAAAATTGAGACAAAGGAAAGTTGAAGGTAAGAATGCAAGAAGGAGCAAGCCTGAGGACACTAAGACGTGTGTGAAGAGTCATTTCTCCCTGGGTAAATAAGGATCGCAAATTTGACCTTACCTTTTAGAAACCAACAACAGAAGAAAGCTATAATCGCCATGTGGATCACGTGGTAGTAAGTAAATTCAGAGCAAAACTCCTTCTGGAACCCAGTGCATGAAGAAAATATTTCCTATGAATTCTCATTAGGAGAACACCAATACCATCCATACTCTAAACAGAATATAAATTACAAGGCCACTCCTAACAAAGATAAAAACAAAACAGTCCTCTGGCATCATTACATCAAATTGTGATGGAGCTTTGCAGGGGGCCAGCAGCAGGTGGTCTGTCGGAACCCACAACAGACTTGCACAGAGACCCAGGAGCAGCAGGGCTGCGCACATACACTTCAAAGGGTCCCTATACGTCTAGCATCTTCAGCTGAGCTTTCAAAGAATATAGAGCAGCAGCGAGCTGGATTGAACCCATTGACAAGTGTGAGGGTGCAGTCATTCTATGTGGACAGGTAACTAACTGGAAAAGTACACGTTTTACAATCCGAGAAAGTAGAGGCTGATGCTCTGAAAAGCTTAAGAACTTACCATGACTTTGCGTGAGAAAAAGCCCACCTGAATTCAGGTCAGTGATTCGTTGAAGGTCAAGAAGGACCTAAAGTGATTTGGGGGTCTTCTCTAACAATGCTGTGTCTCATGATCCCTTACCTTAGAGTGAGGCCACAATGATTGTTCTCTGGATGATATTTAAAGTAGATGTAAACGAACACACCTTCAGACATTAAAAATATCAAATCACATTGCAATGAAATATAAAGTGCATATGGCTTTAACTTTAGCATACTATATTAATTTAAACTAGGTACAAATCATTCATGCAATTAGTTGAATTAGATAATATTTTAGGGGAATATTATGCACAAGCCAGTTTAAACATGGAGGGTCTATATCAAAAAATGTGTACATTAATTTTAGAATAATTGATCCTTAGTTCTCCATCCTTACCATAATTAAATTGCCACGTTAATTTTTAAAGACCTTTACTAGTCCTTGATAATAAAATTAGGCCATCTGTATAAGAAAGAATGCTAGTCCTTCTGTGCTTTGTAGAAACAAGCAGAAGTTGTGATAATTGGTCTATGTATATGGTCTTGCACTTAGGAGCTCCTTCTAGCTCTTCTCATGTGACAAAATAGTGTGTCCTAAACACTGTTATATATCATTTCTTTCTGGATATTAACTCTCTTCACTTCTTTAGTAACTAAATAGCCAAATTTACATTAATTCATTTTCCCATAAATAAAAAAAAGTACAATTTTGTGGTGTAAACACAATTTAAAAATCAAAGTTCAGCCGGGCGCAGTGGCTCACACCTGTAATCCCAGAACTTTGGGAGACTGAGCAGGGTGGATCACAAGGTTAGGAGTTCAAAACCAGCCTGGACAACATGGTAAAACCTCATCTCTACTAAAAATACAACAACAACAACAACAACAACCAAACAAACAAACAAACAAAATTAACCGGGCGCTGTGGCAGGCGCCTGTAATCCCAGCTACTCAGGAGGATGAGGTGGGAGAATCGCTTGAAGTCAGAGGGCAGAGGTTGCAGTGAACCGAGATCAAACCACTGCATTCCAACTTGGGCAACAGAGTGAGACTCCATCTCAAAAAAAATAATAATAATAAATAAAAGTTCACTCAAGAAATATAATAGAATTTGTTTGAAATATGATAGAATTACTTCATTTGTATAATATGAAAAAACATAACTATAGGACTTAAAGCCTCTTATAAGTTGAGAATACCTGCTCTATACAGGTATATACATAACTTGCATAATTATACAGAATATAAAGAAAATATAATATATGACATAATCCCCAAATATACAAATTAGGCACAGATTAGTACCAACTAAACATTAGGATTATTAAATGAAAAGAAAACATAATCTCTTGCTTTTACATAGATGAATTATACAAAGAATCAAAGTCGCTGAAGAGTAAGTAAAATATTTAGCGGAGGCTAGGCGCAGTGGCTCACGCCTGTAATCCCAGCACTTTGGGAGGCAAAGTGGGTGAATCACAAGGTCAAGAGATGGAGACCATCCTGGCCAACGTGATGAAACTCTGTCTTTACTAAAAATAAAAACATCAGCTGGGCATGGTGGTGCACGCCTGTAGTTCCAGCTATTCAGGAGGCTGAGGCAGGAGAATTGCTTGAATCTGGGAGGCAAAGGTTGCAGTGAGCCAAGATCATGCTACTGCACTCCAGCCTGGCGACAGAGTGAGACTCTGTCTCAATAATAATAATAGTTATTATTATTATTGTTAGTGGATAGTTTATATGGTTTCCTTGATCATCAGCCATACCTAGCTAGTCCAACACCCTACTAGAAGTATATCTGTAAACATCAGGGCACACATTTTACTGATACTTCCCAAACAGATGAAACATCTATGAATAAAGATAACATTTTCATGGTTAAAGGAACATATTCTGGAACCAGAGAGCTTATGTTTGAATCCCTGCTGTACCACTTACTTTGTACCTTGGTTTCCCATGCATACTTTGAGGTAATAAATGTTTCTATCTCATGGTTTTTAAATGAGGATCATATGAGTTAATATTCGGAAGTGCAGAGTGAAATCCAAAGGTTTTTAAAGACTGTGTGCATAGAGAGAAGTTTGACGGATAAGTGACTCAGTGGAAACAGATAAAGTGATATGTTAACAGGAAGCATTACAAAGAAATTGGTTGCATTTATCCTGTGGCTAAAATAGCTCCCCAGATCCCAGAAATTATAATAAAAACATTAATTCTTTCATTGATTAATTCTATGAGCATGTATGGGGAGCCTGTTACGTATTAGATCCCATGACACTGTTTCTTTTTTGAGATCTCATCTTATGATCTTCCCTCACAAGCTCCAGGCATCTTCCAAATGGCCCCATTTTGATTATGAGTCTGGGGTGTCTTCAGGAACGTTGGCCCTCAGGGAAACATAATCCTAACATAGTCCCAGAACCAAGAACCCAGGCTGTCACTTAAACGGTCTTCTCACAAGCACTCATAACTTAGCCAAAATTGAAATTTTATTTATCCTGCTGCAAGTTTCAGCCCCCCAGTCTGCCTCATCACAGAGACAGCTCTACAGTTGCTCACCTACTCTGGCAGAAACAAGCAGTCGGGGTCGATTCCTCTCTTCTCTCGCCCCCTACCTCCAACCCTCACAAGTCCTGCAAATTCTGCCTACAGATTAGGTCCTGAGTCTGTCTCCTTCTCTTGGCCTCACTTTCCTACACCCAGCCAGGACTCCAGCAATCATCTCCCTATGGGTCTTCAGGCTTCTGCTCTGTCTCTTCTCCAATCTATCCTCTACTCAAAACTCCAAATTACATTTGTGAAAAGTCAACTAGATCATCCCGGATCCCCTACCTAAAAGTCTTCCCTGGCTCCTGTTGCACTTGGAATAAACCTAAGCTCCCAGGATGTCCCCATGGCCTGTTCCCACCATTCACTGTCTTGCTGTCCAGGGGGCACCCACTCCCTTCCCAGTCTGGACTGTGGACTTCCTCCCTCCTCTTGGATGCTCAACTCCTGGCTGGTATTTCACAGGCCTGCCTCCTTCTGATCTTGAAAGTCTTGAAAGGAGTGCATCTTCTCCAGTGAAGGGACCCCTGCACCCTCTGTGCTTCCTTCAGAGCACTTCATGTTTTACAAGCATCTCCTTGGTTTTTGTCTGCCTCACCAGATATTATGTAAGAAAATAGAATTCTTTGAGATGGAATTTTACTGTAAAAAGGCAGAAAAGAAAAACAATATGTCAAAGAAATTTATAGCAATAGAAGTTTTCAATTGCTCAAATCAGAAAAGTTTCAAGTGCTGATAGCACTCCAAATACCTGTTTCATTGAGAATCTAGATATTTCAGTCCTTTCTTCCCCAGCTCTTACCCATCAATTGTCTGAGAGGAGATTCCTGCACCAGTGCACTAACCAGTAAAATACGGTGCTCCAAGATGCAGTGCAATTCTCCAGACACAGCCGGACAGTGCAGAATGAATCCTGAGTCCTAGATACTGTAGTTCCATGAGTATGGTCCTGGGTAACTGTTGGTTGTTTTCTTAGTAGCCATATCATACTGTGGACTCATATTCAGACTGGTCTAGCTACTAAGATACCTAAGTCTTATATGTTGGTTTGTTTCCCTTTTTTCATTAAATCTTAGAGCCCAGAATTATATCAATCTTATGACACACTGTCTTCATTGGTCCATGCATGGCTCACTTTATCAAGTAGTTACTTTTAATAAAGCAGTAAGTACCCACAGAATAGCCATCTGTTTTATCATGCTGTATGTGACGTAACTTTCGGCTTACTTTTTTTCTCTTCCCACTAAATTACTAAGAGTCACCCGTGTTGTTTTTGATGGGCTTGTGGCTTCCTTTCAAGTTGTGCTTTTGGCGAGCAATACTGCTGTGTACACCTTCTGCATACTTCCTGTGTACAACCATTTGTTTTGGGTGTGTACCTAAGGAAGAAACTGGAGGGTCATAGAGAATGTGAGCATCCACCTTCAGGAGGTAATGGATTATTTCCCAAAGTAGTCACCCTAGCAAAGTATAAGAGCCCAGATCTCTTTCAAACAAATTGTCAGGCCAAGTACCCTTTATCCTGCTCTCATGAAATTGCTCCTATGAAGTCTCACTGTGGAAGTTCACATGTCCTTCTTCATTGTCACTCTGGTTCAGACTCATTCTTCTAGGAGATAAAATTACCTCCAATCCTGCTTCTCGCATCCTTAATATTAACTACCTTCTCCAGTCCTTGAAACCTTTCAAATGTAGTCATACTCCTTCTACAAAGTAATCATGGGAAATAACCACCATTCATTGAGAGCCTGTGGCATGTTTAGCGCTCTACATTTTATTGCATTCATTCTCACAGTGTAGATATCATGCCTATTTTACAGAAGAAGAAACTGAAGCACAAAGAAGATAAGTAAGTTGCCCATGTTCAAGAACAGGATTCAAACTCCCAAGCTGATGTCCTTCCCCCTAAATTACATTTTCCTCATCCATGTCCATGTGGAAGACTCTGCCAATGTGTCTCTGGACTCTAATTCACCTGCCAGCAGCCCCGCAGCTCTGCCTCCAGTCATGGTTCCTAAGGTCTAATTCAACTAAACAGATATTTAATTACTCAGCATAAAACTGTCCTTGCAGCATTTTGAATAAGGGAATGCAAGGGCTTTGAGGTTTAATCCCAGCTCTGCCTCTTAATTTGAACTTGGGCAGGTTATTTAACTTCTGTCAGTGATTCCTGAGGTCTCACTTAACCTCTTTGGGCTTGGTGTCTTCATATGTGAGGAGGGTATAATGGAGCGAGTCCCGCTGTAGGGTGCGGTGAGATGTAATTGAAGACACATATACAAACACGCCTGGCAGCACCCCTGGGACATAACTGAGCTACATGCAACGGTGGCACTTTTCTACTCTTTTATTTCTTACCGAGAAATTAAATCTGCAATTTCTCTTATCCACTTTTTCAGAATCCTGGATATGCATTGTTTTGGTAAAAACACTTCAAATGGAAGTCTCATTTTCAAGTAGCAAATCACAAATTAAACATATGATTCAATTGTTAACAGTTTTCAGTTCGAACTAAGGTAGTCTTACTCTTTACAGGAATAGAGAGTGATGAAGAAATTAGGCATTTGGATGAAGAAATAAAGGAACTGAATGAATCCAACCTTAAGATTGAAGCAGATATGATGAAACTTCAGACCCAGGTAAAAAAAAAAAAAAAAAGTAATTCATGATCCTTAATCTTTGGTGGAAACAAAACATTGAACTTTTTAAAGCTTGTGTGAAAATATATGATATCTTAGAGTCAATATGCTGAGTATTTCTAGATTCCATAATTATTGTAAAATTCTGAATAGCTGGATCACCCCAGGTTACCATTGATTCAGTAGCTGTGGGCAAGCTGTCTCCTGTTTTTGTCCTGGTAGCATCAAAGGTTTCATAAGCAAACAAGGCAGATTATCCTATAATCAAACAGTCTGGTGGAGTACGTAGTGCATTAGAAAAAAAATGTGATGAAAAGGTAAGAATCCTTGGTTTCATTCAAAATTCAAGTAAAATATAGCAACTTTTTCATTTAATGTTTTTGGAACACCTCTGAATGTGTAAGTATTTATTAGAAACAGATCTTACTGAACATTTTCTTGAGCAAATTCTTTACCTAAAAACCCAAGTAATTTCTCAATTCTGCATTTTTCTTTATGATGTCTGCCTCATCCCATGGAAATTAACAGTTCAGTTCAAGATTTTTAAAACACAAATCATAACTCTCTTGCAACAAGTTAGCAGCAAAAGAATGAGACAGAGAATAGGACTGAGTATCTTTCTCCCTTTCCCTGCAGGGGATTTTTATACCACCATAGTTACTGGATCTCTTGGAAGTCCTCACACAACAGCTTAAGACAAAGGGTTTTAATCCATCTGAAATTTTGGTTTCCTTACCCAGAGTGACCATTGTTGCCATCATCAATTAATGGCCATCTGGTCTACAGATTGACACTTTTGTCTAGGAATCATGGGAATTCCTCTAGAAAACCATTAGCAAAGAACACAAAAGCCTCTGCCGTCTTGAGACTTATCGTCTAGAAGGAGGAAGCGACACTAAACAAAAAAGTCATAAATGATCAATTATGTTGTATGCTAGAATGGCAGGGGGCTGGGTGAGTGCCTGTATTTCAATACTTAATGGGACCACCAGCCCCCAGGGAGAAGAAAGGCATCCGCAAAGACTTGAGGAATGAGGGAGTTGGCCAAACAGGTATGGAGAAAGAGTGTTTCAGACAGAAGAAACCCCGCAAGCACAAAAGCACTCATCATGAGAAGGTCTGGGGATTTGAGAAATAGCAAAGAGAAATGTGGTCGCAGGTGAGTGAGCTGGGTGGGGCAGGTCACAGGAGAACAGTCTCAGATGCAACAGGGCAGCTCACATGGGGCATCTTAGTCCATTTCAAAGACCTTGGTTTTTATTCTGAATGTATGCAGAACTGTAACACAGTTTTGACCCAACGAGTAACATCATCCTCTCTGATTGACATGCTGACTTGCATTTTAAGAGGCTCATCTTGGTGGCTGTGTTGAGGAAAGGCTGAGAATAGATTAGATGGGGTAATGGCAGACACAGGGCCACCCACGAGAAGGCAGCACAGTCACACTGGCGGCTTGGCCCAGGGGGCAGCAGTGTGGAGGGGACAGTGGTCTCATCCTGGATATTTTGAAGGAGGCACCAGTGGAGGAGAGGTATGAAAGAAAGAGTCATGGGGGATCTGCACTTAAGTTGAGTTGCTGCTGGCTGGAAAAGGGAGACAGCGGATGGAGCAGGTTTGGGGAAAACAACAAAGTTTGCTTTAAGCATGTTGAGTTTGAGATATCCATCATACAGCCACGTGGAGAAGTTCCACAATTCCTGAGGAAGTCTGGGCTGAAGATGAAAATTTGGGGATGTGATTCCAGCACTTCAAACAATCCAATGGGCCTGCAGCTTCATGCTGAGAAGTTGCATGCATGCATCTCTTAGTGTTCAGATTCACTTGGTGCGTTTTCTTTCAGGGAGAAAACTTTTGCGATCCTTCCAAACTGAACTACTCACATTCCCAAGTTATTTCTGTTGTAGATCACGTCTATGGAGAGCAACTTAAAGACGATAGAGGAGGAGAACAAACTCATAGAACAGAACAATGAAAGTCTGCTAAAAGAGCTGGCGGGTCTGAGCCAAGCTCTCATTTCAAGCCTTGCTGACATCCAGCTTCCACAGATGGTAAGTTCAAGGCCAGATCCTTGCTGTTCCATTACAAGCATTTGCAGTGTCATCATGCATTTGCCGACAGGGTTGCAATGACTGAGCTTTGAGGAGACCTGTGAGCAGTCACAGAGTGACCACACTTCATCACAGTCTGGTTTGGAGTAATCTCCATCTCTGGGAACGTGGTAGATACATTTATTTAAATTATATTAAGGCCAAGAATTTTTTTAGAGGCCAAAGTCATTTAAAAACAAAGGATTTTTTTGAAGCTTGGTTCATAATGTCATGTGGAAGTTGAATGGGCAAAACTCCCTCAGTGAAAATGTTATTTCCAAGTAGAAGATTCCATGTCTTATAAAATCTGAGACCATTATTTGCATCATCCACCCAACTCAAGAACTGTAATCAAAGATGTTCAATTCCCAATGGACTAGGTGCTTTCTTCATATGGAAGTATGAAGAACCTACTTCAGTTCTCCTCATATAAAATAAAAAGCAAAAAAAAAAAAAAAAAATGAGCAAGGAATCCTCATTTTCAAAATCAAAGCATGTCTTTCAGGTATGCAACTATAGACCTCCAACACTTAAGAATGGGCACACATTCTAAGAAATGTGTCCCTTAGGCAATTTTGGCACTGTGTGAACATCATACAGTGAACTTCTGCAAACCCAGATGACAGACCCTACTTTACTTACTGCACACCCAGGCTATATGGTACAGCCTACTGCTCTGAGGTTACCCACCGGAGCAGCATGTTAGTGTACTGAATATTTTAGGCAATTACTAGTATTTGTGTATCTAAACATGGAAAAAAATATCTAAACCATAAAAATATGCTGTTGTTATCTTATGGGACTACCATCATATATTCAGTCTATCATTGACTGAGATGTTGTTATACGTTGCATGACTGTATTTGGAATTCATAGAAAATTAGCTTCTTTTACATATTCTTAAATACAGACAAATATTTGGAGGAGAGACTACATTGCTGAATGCTTTTAATCTCCTCAGAACCTAAATTTTTAGAATAATTTTTCCAAAGATGCCAATTTTATATATGAAATTATTTATGGAAGCAGCAATGTGATAAAGAAATATAATTGATTTTGGTTGAAACATTAAGCCCCTCAATTTTACCCAAGTTCTTAGCATGGAGTTCTTATCTTAAACAATTCCAAATATGTTTCTTGACTCCCACCTGCCAAAAAATCAATAATATAATAATGAACACAAAGCAAAAGAAATGATGCCACTATGGTAAGGATTAAGATAATTATTCAAAATCATTGTAGTGTTATTTATTAACATTGCATAAATCATACTTTGAATATGCATTCCTTAGTATTTTCTTCTTCACCGCTGCCATAAAAAATAGGTACTACACAAGTTAACTTGTGCCTTGTGTACTCACCACACAGAGCACTCCAGTGGTGATTTTTAGGGCTGATCACACAAAATATTACAAAAGCACCAAAGAGCGAGCATTAGTATTCCCATTCCATAGTTGAAATCAGGGCTCAGACAGCTTACTTAATTTGATCAAGTTTCCAAAGCTAACACAAGGTAAGTGGGCCTGGCCCTGCAGAGTGGCCTTTATTCACTGTGCTACCTGGGTCCCCATCCCATTCCCTGACTCTCCAAGAAACACAAGGCACAGCAAAGGCAGTAAAGTGAAGGGGACAGAGAATCACGATTGGACAATACTAATAATTTAGATCAGTGCTTTGCCGAACAGAGCACAACCAAATAGCTTCAAATTTAGAAAGCTTATTTCTTAAATAGCAACAATAGCACTATACTTTGTCATTTAAATGTCCTTTCTTCCAAGCACCTTGCAAAGTAAGTCTCACGCCATGTGTTTTTAAAAAGGAGGGAAAATTGTGGCAACAGAAATGACTGAGTAACATTCCCCTTGTGATATTCATTCCGTTTCACATTTGTGTGAAATTTACACATATCCAGCCTGTGCTCTCCTTGAAGCATCACACTGGGTAAAGGAGAGACCAACACATACAAAAAGAACAGAGAGGCCAAGTGCAGTTTCTCACGCCTGTAATCTCAGCAGTTTGGGAGGCCCAGGCCGGTGGATCACCTAAGGTCAAGTATTTGAGACCAGCCTGGCTAACATGGTGAAATCCCATCTCTACTAAAAATACAAAAATTAGCCGGGTGTGGTGGTGCATGCCTGTAATCCCAGTTACTTGGGAGGCTGAGGCAGGAGAATCGCTTGAACCTGGGAGGCGGAGGTTGCAGTGAGCTGAGATCACACCACTGCACTCTAGCCTGGGCGACAGTGCGAGACTCTGTCTCAAAAAAAAAAAAAAAGAATAGGGGATGAATAACTTTAAACTTTGTGAAATTGATATTCTGCCTGCAAAGACTGAGAAATGTAAAAAGTGTTATTACAATGATGCCACAGGAGAAAAACAGGTTCAAAGGGTCTGAGGATGGAGGAGGAAAATTTTCCATCACAACTGTTACTGAGTAACTTGCTCAAATCTTAAATTCCTTAAGTTTCTGCCCAGTGCTGTTAAAGGCACCACTTAGTACAAGCAACCCTTCCCAGCCTCACAAATATTCACCTTCCACAAACAGGAGCCTCTGTTGTGCAAGGCATGTGCAGTCAAGGCTGAGACTGCCTCCCAAGAGAAGTAGAAAAGTTTTGTGGAGTCCGAGTCCACAGCCAGACATATACTTTATGCGCTCCAAATCAACCCCAAATACTGTACAAGTCAGTCACATTCGTCTCCCGAATTAAGAGTGAACAGATGAATCCCACTTACACTCCATCTCTCTCCATCTCCTGCAACTCCAGCAGCCATATGCACCCTTGCCTTCCCTCCTGACTCCCGGATCACTGATCTTCGATGTCACTGGGTCCTTCTTTTCCCTCAGCCTGAACCACTGTGATTGGGTCAATGTGTTTTGTCTCCATTTAGGGACCTATCAGTGAGCAGAATTTTGAAGCATATGTAAATACACTCACAGACATGTACAGCAATCTGGAACGGGACTATTCCCCGGAATGCAAAGCTCTACTGGAAAGTATCAAACAGGCAGTGAAGGGTATCCATGTGTAGGATCACAGCACTGCCGGGCAACAGAAATTACCAACAGCAGCAAACTCCAGATGGATCTGTTAGTGGTTCGTGTACTGCTAAGGCGTGGAGGTTGCCGTACTGCATTTACAATTGCAACATTGCACTAATTTTATTTTCCCCAGCTGATATAAAAAGGAAAGAAAAACTATGATAGACTTCTTGGATTAAAAGCAATGCAGTCGATTATTAGATCTTATTTATTTTCATATGATTTTCTTTTATTTCCTCATTGTACTCTTTTTTTGTAAAGTATATGTAAAATAAATGTGACATTTTTATAATTTATTTATTACTAATCAAAGAGTTTTTTATCTTTTAACTGCATTTTGAAGTCTGCCATATTTTTACAAGTGTGTTATTAATTTATTTTCCAATAGGATTTAAATAGAAATGCTATTCTCAAGTCATCTTTCTTGCTGGGTTTTAATGAGGAAACAGGAAAGGGTGAAGGAAATCCTTGTCTAAGGACTGCACTATAGTTGAGTTTAATTTTTATTGCACACTTCTTCCCCCACCTTTCACTGGTTTTTGTATTTATAAATGAATTTGTGGTAAGGTGAGCTGCACAGAAGGAATAAGAAGACAAATGGCGCCCACTAGTGGGTAATCCGCACTCACAAAAGCACAGGATGCTGGAAAACAGCCTGCTCAGAATTTGTTAGCAATAATTAAATATAGCAATCAGCAAAGTATTCGACTTGGCTGGACGGTTTTCGTTAATATGAATTATTTATTTGAAATGTTTTAAAGAAACATAAGCTTTTTTAGTGATGCAGATTTGTCTGTTTGTTTTTCAAGTCATATCAGATCGTTGGCAACTCGTTTCCCAAGATGAAAAATAAGACTTGGTGTGACCAGCCAGGCTTTCCTGCCATATGTTGGTACAACATACAAGTGACAATATTGGTGTATATTTGTGCTTAGCAAATACAAACACATCCAAATGAAAAATTTTGTAGATACCATATCCCCTGAAATAGCATTTATCTTACTGGGTTGACTGGAAAGGAATGGAAAATACAGTTACACATGAAGAAATGTTACTCCAATCTGAGTGATTACTTCAAACACTGGCAACTTGGGTCTCACCCTCCATAGGAAACAAGACAACATTCAATTTGATAGAAATCTTGCCATAGACCTTCAAGTACTACAAAATATACACACACACTCACATACACAGGCATTCTCACACACACACACACACACACACTCATCCACACTTTGAATTGAGCCCACAATCTTGAATTTCTGAATGGGTCAGAGTTTCATAGTTGCTATAGTAAAGGCAATGTCTATTTCAGGGATTGTAAAGTAGTTAAGCATTGTTTCAAAAGTTTTTTTATATTTATTTTTTTTAAGGAAAAGGTATAGACAACCAGCTAAACTGCCTTTTTGGTGTGCACACACATTTCATGTGCAGACGTGCCTCTGTGTAAATGTACACATGAACTTAGTGTGGGCTTAATTTTCTGTGCTATAAACGAAAGTGTTTATTTTTTATTAACCTCATGGATATTTAGATGGAACGTGATGGCATTCACAGGCTTGATATATTCCACTGTTATTACTGTTACCTGCACAAATGAAAAACAATACTCAACAATAATTCCACTCCCATGAAATTGTGGTCATTGTTATGCATTAAGTGAGGCTTATGTTTGGTTTGGAGTTCATTTGAACTCTTGAATCTTAGTTTAGTGAAGATGAACTGTCTGTTCTTAGGTAGAAACGGTGTTTATTTAAAAATCAATTTAAAAAATGAGCTACCCTATGTGCTGTCTATTATAAACGGGACACCAAACAAAATTTTCTATGACAGTTATGTACTCGCAGACATTTTGCTATACAGTACTTCATGGATGCATACAAATGAGTTCACTTATTACAAAGACAAACGTTTAATTTGCTAAATATTTTAACAAGTTTGTTATATATTTTATTTAATTTAAAAGAAATCTCTTACCAACCTACATATTTATTACTATGATTTACTATGACTTCAGGTTAATTTATTTGTGTTGGCATAGTTTGAGCAGGATGTTTTGTGAAGTATGTTTGTATTTATTTGCCTACTTTGTACTTGATGTGTTTTGTAATGTGCACTGAATTTGTTTTCTTTTCAACTATGTTAATGATCAATACTGTAAATTGGTCTTTTGTAAACAACAAAAAGGCAATGATGTATGCATTTTTTTATTTGAGGTAGTTTGTTTGTATACTGTTTCTCCAAACATTTAATATTTCTTACATCAAAGCAACAAAATTGTGTTCAGTGCTGTACATTTGGTGTATGGTAGGAAATAAAAACTGATAACGAGTTTTGATGTCATCTTTCTCAGGCTGTTATCTAGAGACTCGTATCCCCTTCCCATGGAATCCACTGTCCAGAACGAGCCCTGGTGAGGTCCCCAGAGTGCACTTCAGCCTGCCAGTCATTCGGAGACATTTCTGTTCTGACAGCTGGTCTGCTTGCCTTAAAGTGGACAGGACTTTTGGCCAGTTGACAAGCTGTCCCTGCCTTTGATGTGGCATTCACCTCCAGAACAGGGAATGCTTTGACATAAGGAAGACCTTTGCTAGGAGTAGCAGCAAATTCACTCAGATCTAATAGGTGGCAAGATACAGGGCCCGCCCTCCTGATTCCAAAATTACTTTGGATACGGAGTATATCTCTAGATTCATATAAGCTAAAATTAAAGAAACTTGAATTAAAGAAAAATGATAATAAATTATTGATAGCACGCCTTCTGCTTATGTGTTCTTTCTATCTAATGTCAAATAGTCATCCTAATTTAATTTTTCAGTTTCTGCCCAGATTCATACATCTCTAGAATAAGTTTCCACCTACATTTGATCTGGTTAAAAAAAAAAAAATCTATTTAACACATGTAATGAAGCCAAATTGACTGAAGGGAAGTCTGGGTCCAAAGAGGAAAGTCAGAGTGGTACTTGGGAGACCTTCATTTACCAAGAGCCAAAACATAACCATTAATGCACAATATAGCTTTCATTTAGTCACCACACTCACATGTTGAAGACACGCATAAAATGGATCACAAAATGTAAATCTGCTCAGTCAGGCTTTTAGCTTACCCTTAGCCAAGCATGTGCATCTTGCCCTGACTGGAACTTTTTTTTTTTTTTTCCTGAGATAGAGTTTCGCTCTTGTTGCCTGGGCTGGAGTGTGATGGCACAATCTTGGCTCATTGCAACCTCCGCCTCCCGGGTTCAAGCAATTCTCCTGCCTCAGGCTCCCAAGTAGCTGGGATTACAGGCATGCACCACCATGCCCAGCTAATTTTTTGTATTTAGTAGAGATGAGGTTTCACCATCTTGGTCAGGCTGGTCTTGAACTCCAGACCTCAGGTGATCCACCCTCCTCAGCCTCCCAAAGTGCTGGGATTACAGGCGTGAGCCACCACGCCCGGCCTCTGATTAGGATTTTATATCAATGAGTAGTGTCTACAACTCTGTCAACAACGCGTCATAAGAAGAGCACCAGTCTTACTGGAAATGGTGACTAAGAGTCATCCATTCATCAAAAAGATGTTTACTTGGAACACGTTTATGCCGGGCCCACTTCCTTACTCCCGTGGGAGTTCAGCCTCATGGGAGACAACGAAATAAGTGAAATATTTTGGTTTGGGTATACACAGGCTCCTGTGGAAACCATGTGAGGGTTACCTAACAAACCTGGATTTCCAGGAAGAATACTGCTTCCGATTCAGCAGGGCAAGTTTGAGAACACGTGCCGCAGTCAGTGACAACAGCATGGGCAAAAGTATGGCAATCATCAAGGCAGCAGCTTCACGTATTTAAAGCACTGAAAAACTGGTGAGAAGTGAGAAGATGAGAGGCCAAAGCCCAGGTGAGTGGGAAGAGGAGGAGGTCATATTGTAGACAGGCATGCTAAAGAGTTCTAACTTCCACAGACGTCAACATGTGAAAGAAAAATTTAAAATCGGAGAATGACAAGATCAGATTTTCACTGCAGATAATTTGTTCCAGCAATTCAGATGATTAACATTTCATACATCAGGGCAAGAAAATTGTGTTCAATGCTGTGTATGTGGGGTATGGTACAAATAAAAACTGGTAAGGAGTGTTGCTGCGATCATTTTCAGGCCAGTGTATAGAGACTATCATTACCATCCCATGAAAAGTCCTGGGGCCTTCAGACATAAGACTAAAACCCTTCTACTGGAACCAAGGACCTGAATAAAAAGAAGGGGGTGAATAATTTTTTGATTTACCCCATTAGAAAAAGTTTCAAAAATTAACTTGTTATGGTACATAAGTATTTTATTAATATTTGTAAAAACTAATGTTTTCTACATCTCTTTTCACACATTACATTCATTTTACTGTGGTCTGGGAAAAGTGCCCTGCTATTTCCTCTCATTATTCAGCAGATAATTATAAAGTAAGCAGATTTAATTGGCTAATAACTATCCCCGCTGTCAGACACAATCAATGATGTTTTGTATACTTCATCTCACAAAATGTATCAATCAAATAACACCATGCACAATTAAACTGATGAGGAAACTGGTGTTTAGCAAAGTTAGTTCTTGCTCAAGACCGTAAAACTAGGAAACGATGCAGCCAGGATTCCACCTCAGATGTGTTTGATTAAAGCAAGGCGAATCCTTTGTCACTATTTTTACAAAAATAATTCTATTGTGGATAGTCCTTCTCTAATGAGGACAATAGCAGGACTCACTGACTTGCACATTTAGAAGTAAATGAGCCCCGTGTAGACCTCTCGACCTAGATGCTCTAACCAACAGGATCTGTCTCATCGCCTGTCTGATGTAGTTTCATCTGGAGGACAGAAAATAAGAACGAGGTAAGATTGAGATGCATGCCAGCATCCAGACATATTCCAATATTCCTCAATCTTAACACTACGGTAACGAGTACATCTCTGAATTCCCTCTTGTAAGCTTCATAGTCACACTGCAACAGAATTCTTATGATCAGCATTACACTAAGAGACAACCAAGGGTTAGAGAGAGTAAACTCTACTCATTGTTTGATGCCCCAGAGATAAGTACCAGGGTCAGAATTCAACTCAACTCTGACCCAGAGGCAAGTTCCTGTCCCTTCTGCAGGCCGACACGACTGCATTTAGCCATACTTGCTGTGCTGGCCAGCACCTTACTGGCCTCTGTGCACAGTCATTCAGCAAGAAACAGTTAAGATATATGCCAGGGCCCATTCCAGGAAAAATTGTTCAAAGAAGCATCATTTTCACATTTACACCACACTTTATGATGTATTTTTCTTGTAAAAGCATATCATAAAAAATGTGACATCCTAATAATGTATTTGATGAATTGGGATTGAAAAATCTTAATATGGGTTATAATAAATAGCCAAAAATAAGAAAAATGCAAATTGCTCATTTTTTTATTGTTTTTAGAGCAAAACAATATAAATATTTTGTTCTGTCATTAGCTGCTTTGTGTATGCTTGACAGTTTTGAATTGGCCCCCGACAAATAAAAAGACAGTTTGTCCTGAACTTTACCAGCTACTAAATTTTTAAAACATAAATAGAATGTGAAGTTCCCTGCTCTTCAGAAACAGCTGCTGTTTTAGTAGAGTTTTCCACTTAGATGTATATTCTCATATATAAATGTAATCATCTGCCTTCTGTAACTGATGGCCTTGTTCAGTTTTAAGTGAAATCCAGGGTTAGATTTATGGGTTTGATATTCGAAAGTGCGAGTGGTACTTTGGGGATATGTCGTGCTGCTCTGGTTTGGATATTTGACTCCCGAAACCTCATGTGGAAATGTAATCCCCAGTGTTGGAGGTGGGGCCTAGTGGGAGGTGTTTGGGTCATGAAGATGAATTGCCCATGAATAGATTAATATCCCTGTGGGGGTGGGGAGGGAGTGAGTTATCATTCCATTCACTGAGAGAGCTGGTTGTTAAGGAGAGCTGGGCACCTCACTCTGCCCTGCTTCCTCTGTCGCCATGTGACCTCTGCACAGTCCAGGCCCCCTTCAATTTTCCCCATGAAGGGGAGCTTCCTAAGACCCTCACCAGAGTGGATGCTGGCATGGGGCTCCATGTACAGTCTGGAGAGCCGTGAGCCAAATAACCTCTTGTCTTTATAAATTTTCCAGCCTCCAGTATTCCTTTATAGCAACACAAAATGTATTAAGACACACTTTAATAATGCTCTTAAAGGGTCAAACTTTTAACCATCAGAAATCTTTGTAAATATTGATCCCTGAGACTAGTATACTTGAATTTCAAAAATATGAGAGAGAACGCTCAAGTTCTGTGTCTCATCAAAGACCCAAGGGCAAAAACATCCACACCCACGCAGCTGGCTTCTTGCCTGGGCCACAGGTCAATGTCTGCATGGACAAGCCTCTACTATGGGATTGGCTCTATTAGCATGAATTTACTATTCCAGGAAATTCTTGCCCGGGATAAAAAATGGAAAATATCTTCATTATCTGTTCCAAGAACTTCCTAACAATCCATTTACCCGAACCAGATAAAACTAGAACTACTCAATGTACTCTCAGAATAAATACCCTTTCTCAGGACACTCATTCATGTCAAGTGATTGTTTACTCTTTGAGACTCACTTTGAAACCTTGGCTTTGCTGTGTGTCTTTCTCCTAAATTGTTATGTTGTGAACTTGCCCAACTCTAATCATGCCCTCACATTCAAGGGCCCTCCTTAAGTCAGTCCCCTCAAATCACATAAATACCCCATGCTTGCTAGCCCCCTTTCCTCACAGGCTGTTAAGATTCTGTCAAGGCAAACTCAGTTTTGTTTTATCAATAGATTATTTCGGTTGTATTTTGTGGCAGCCAGCATTTGACAGACCCAAGTAATGTCTACATACACCCACCGATGTATCTTCCATCCATAGCCCCACTTTTTTGGTAATTATGTATATAAATGCTTCAATTTTGAATAATCGAAAAGCTGTAAGTGTAACTGTAAATGTTTTCAAAACTTTCTTGGATATTTCTGTGAACAAAAATAAGGGAATGTTTTTATCTCTCCCATGTACCCTTTTCATTGCCAGAGATTCATCTAGATCAGCAGGAAAACTGTACGTAATCTACAAAACCAGGAAAGGAAGAATGGAGGAAAGGAGAAGAAACGAAAATAAGAAAATGTATCCATCCTGATAACATGAGGTTTTTAAAAGTAAGTCAAATGTCAATACAAATTCCTCAAGGGCAGCAGCAAAAGTTAACACGTGGTCTTGGAAATGTTCAAAGTCCCCACAGGCACTGCAAGGCACCCTGAAGCTTTTTATAAAGGTGTGTCTGTGTGTTTTAACATCAATCAGGCATTTAATATTCACCAGAAATTTCCCAAGTGCTTTATACATGTTATTTAGTTCTCACAACAATTCTGTAAATTATGAGTTATGATAATCAGGAGATGTTTTTTAAAGGATTCATAAAGCGGCTCAGTAGCGTGGGCACAGCTGTATGCATCCTCTTCTCAGCACTGAGTGGTGCCTTCTCGCCATCACGTGGAGGGAGTTCTGCTCTCCCTCCCTCCAATGTCTCCTTTTAGCCTCTTGCCCCACTGGTTTCTCCTCCATCACAGCCTGGCTGCACTTCTTAAAACAGTAGTCGTAGATCACTGAATTATGGCTCAAGACCACAAATTGAAATAAAAATGTGTTGAATATATTGAGTTAAATAAAGTCTAGTTTTAAAATGAATTTCCCCTTTTCTTTTTATTCATTTTCAGTATGAATGCTAGGGAATGCTAGAAAATATATAATAACATGTGTGGCTCTCCCCACATTTCTATTAAACAGTGCTACTTAACCGTTTTTTCTGTAAGAAACAAGGTGTTCAAAAAGAAAAGCCAAGGAAATA